AGAGGGAAGAAGTAAATAAAAGGGAGATGAAGTCTTGTCGCTATTGGTTGCACGAACGCAAGACGACAACATTCTAGTTACATGCTATTTCACCCTGTCACAGCCCTTCATGCATAATCTTTATCCACATCAATATTATTCTCCATCACCTTTTCTTGCTCAGCCTCTCACAGCACTACCTGCCTCAAGATTAGCGAACTCACCTCATTGTCCCGGTTTTTAAATCCAGTGATAAGTCATCTGTCTGTAACTATCGACCGATTTCTCTCCTCTGCTCGGTTTCTAAAGTTCTGGAAAGACTGATCTGGAAAGACTGATCTATAATAAAATCTTCCCTTTTGTTTCTCCCTCAATTTCTCCCTCACAGTTTGGATTCCGTCCAAAGCATTCGACAATTCAACAGTTACTGGTTTTCCTCACTACCCTTCAGGACTATCTGTCCTCAAACTGTCAGGCTGATGTTGTTTACCTCGACTTTAAGAAAGCTTTCGACAGTGTCCCACATAACGAACTTCTAGTAAAGCTGTGGTCTTTTGGAATTACTGGCAACCTGTGGAAATGGTTCCAAGCCTATCTATCCTGTCGATCACAACACGTTACACTCAATCGCTGTATTTCTGATCCCCTTCCAGTCATCTCAGGAGTACCGCAAGGAAGTATTTTGGGTCCTCTATTATTCTTAATATTCGTCAATGATATTCCATCCTCTATCAGTTGCTCTCAAATATTTCTATTTGCTGATGATGCCAAGTGTCTAAAGAAAGTTTCCACTCCATCTGACTGTCGTTTACTCCAAAATGACCTCCTTCGTCTGTCTCTATGGAGCCAAAAGTGGCACCTCCAGTTCAATGCAAAGAAATGTGTTGTTCTGAGATTTAGTCCCAAATTTCCTCGCGTCATCGTTGACTACACTATCAATAACACTTAAATCCAAGTTCTTAACTGTCATCGTGACCTTGGGATTTTATTGTCTAGTGACCTTAAATGGAATAACCATCTCAAGTTCATTGCCTCTCGAGCTTACAAAGTGCTAGGCCTCATTCGGCGTTCATTTTCCTCTGGTCTTGATACTAAGGCTAAAATGAACTTGTACATCCTCTTAGTTCGTTCTCAACTGTCCTACGGTTCACAGATTTGGAGGCCCCGTCTCGTCAAAGATATAATTATGCTGGAACGAATCCAGAGACGTGCTACAAAGTATATTCTGAACGACTCTAAGTCAGATTACAAGCATCGCTTACTGTCACTTAGACTTCTCCCTCTCGTTATGCAACTTGAGCTGTATGACATTATGTTCTTCATCCGTTGCCTCAAGACCCCTGATCCCTCTAATATCTTTGCCCTGCAGTCTTACGTACATTTCTCAGAAGTCAATACCCGGTCTTCAACTCACCTGAAGCTGATACATTCCCTCTGTAAATCCAACATTACACTTCATTTGTATTTCAACAGACTTCCACAGCTCTGGAACTCTCTCCCAGCTATTAACCTTGATCATCCTATTCCTACCATTCGGAAACGGAAATTCTTGAATTATTTTGGTCACATTTTGATTCTCATTCTCTGAGTACGAATCCATGCACACTTCACGATATTTGCCCATGTTCTGTGTGTGTTTGCTCATCAATAGCAACTAATTACTCTACCACCTAGGTCATCAACACTTTGTTTGTGTTCCGTCAGCACATGTTACAAAGTGTGTATGCCTGTCCTTATTTTGTTTTTATGTCCCTTTCATCATGTACTGTGAAGCTAAAAAAAATGCTATATATTATACAGTGTGAAGAGGTGTCTGAAGCCATTCAATGATCTTAGCCAGTTCCTGTAGTTGAGGATGAAGAAAAAACAAGAAAAGCATCTGACAATCTGATTTTTAAATCCCCACCCTTGCTTCTTACAGCTTGTCTATTAACTGTAACTAGCTCTTCGAAGTATCTAACCAGTAATGGTAAAAGCTTCACAAAGCGATCAACACAGTCAGCAAGGGAGAGCCATCTAACTTTATGGTATTGCACAATAGCAATAATTATGTGGGCTGTTGGGGTCAACCAAATCTTTCATACTTCTAAACTCATCACGTCTAACGAAGCTATCCTTAAAAAAGAAGAATGTGTCTGATACATTTTTTAATGTCAACTAGAAGCTCTTTTTGTCCAGCTTTGGACACAAAAAAATGGTGGTGAGGAGGGCAATGGGTAGAAAATAACTTTATTTTTACATATAGCTAGGCCTCCCCTATCTGATATCATTACCACCACACCATCAGTAGTTAGTCCAACAAGCTTTTTAGTAGGTAATTTTTCATTTTCATCATCTTTGTCAATCTTCCACTATGAAAACAGATTATGATGCCCAATAACCTTTTTAGCTCTAAAAAATCCTCAACTATTTTCGCCTCCTCAATATCACTAAGTACGGTAGTCCATACATCTATGATGCTACAGGTACCATGCCAATCCCTATAATACTAAGTATTACCGTACTTATGCCCATACATTTGAGATTTTCATGTTTCACTTTCAGTTTCAATCAGATCCAACTTTTGACAGACCAGACTGATCCGTATCGTCACAAAGAGCATGTATTCAAGAAATGGCTTAAATCGCATAATCGGTACTTGATTTATTCAAGAAAGTTTTAAAAATTCTTGTTGTTTTTGTTGTTGTTGTTAAGTTTAGAGAAGCGTATCTCAAAAACCGGGTAAGATATGGAGATGAAACTTTGCACAGATATTGGAATCCATGACAGGTCGTGCAAGAGCATTTTTGTTTCTTCGTAACAAGTTTTGTTTACATGTAAACAACAAAAAATAGCCCCAGGCAATACATTATGATAGAGACAAATAAAGTGTGCTAAGTAGGTAGAGGAAATACCCAGAATGATAAAACTTTTTACACACATGCAACCCATCATTGCAAACATTACAAGTATGTAAACAACAACAAACAGCCTCAGGCAATAAAAACTTCTAAAATGTGTTTGTGCCTATAACTAGCTTATGGTGGGTCGTCTAACAATGAAACTTGGTACGCTGATGTATCATCATGAGAGTTCATCGAAACAGATATTATAAGTTTGTAAACAACAACAAACACCCTCAGGCAATAAAACTTGTAAATGGTGTTTGTGCCTCTAACTTGCTAATGGTTGGTCCACTAACAATGAAACTTGGTACACTGATGTATCATGATGAGAGTTCATTGAAACAGAAATTACAAGCTTGTAAACAACAACAAACAGCCCAAGGCAATAAAAAGTTGTAAATGGTGTTTGTGCCTATAAATTATTTGTGGTTGGTCCTCTAACAATGAAACTTGGTAGCTACACTGATGTAACATGATTAGAGTTAATCGAAACATAAATTTCAAGCTTGTAATTATAAACAACAGCAAACAGCCTCAGGCAGTAAAACTTGTAAATGGTGTTTGTGCCTATAAATTACTTGTGGTTGGTCCTCTAACAATGAAACTTGGTAAACTGATTCGCCATGATAAAGAGTTCTCCGAAACAGAAAATACAAGGTTGTAAACGACAACAAACAGCCTCAGGCAAAAAATACCTTTAAATGGTGTCAGTGCCTATAACTTGCTTATGATGGGTCCTCTCACAACGAAACTTGGTGCACTGATGTAATGTGAATGACGCAAAACATCTGAGGTGATAGCTTAAGGCCACTAATATTACTTTTTTTATGGGCTTATGCCCAATAATATCCTCTTTTTATTGCTCACAATGCATGCGAATGCAGTATATAAAAAAAGAAAAGGAGACAAGTAAACAAAAAATCTTCGAATTCAAAAAGTGTGGAATATAGGGATGCCATAAAAAGTAAGGAGACAAGACAGGGATGACTTGGTGAACATGATGCAGTAGTACAATGGATGATGGCTACATACTTTGAACTGACATCACTTGCTCATGTAAAATTCCTCCACACAAGCTCTATATTGTCGCGAAGTACGAGTGTGCTCTCTTGTATGATGCACAGTTTTGATTTATTTCATAAGCACATTAGACAGGTAATACCAGTTGTGACTGCATTGTGTGAAGTCTAAGACTTCTACATTCGCTCAACTAACCAGTTTTACAATGCTGCCACCTACATACAGAATCCTTTCACCATTGTCCTCGCACTTCACTTGTCCTCGCACATCACTAAACAAACAGTAAAGGTGACGACAATATAGGGCTTGTGTGGAGGAAATTTTACATCAATCAAGTGATGTCAGTTCAAAGTATGTAGCCATCATCCATTGTACTACTGCATCATGTTCACTAGGTCATCCCTGTCTTGTCTCCTTGCTTTTCATGGCATCCCTATATTCCACACTTCATAATTCGAAGAATTTTTTGTTTACTTGTCAATATATCGCACATACAACCCAAGTTGCTCTTGGGTCGCTGTGTCAGTGAACTCGTGTCAGTGAACTCGTGCCAACTCTCCCCACACACCCCAGTGTCCAATTACCTCACAACAGAGAACAACAGTGACAGTATACTATACAGAAAATCTGAATAAAATTAGTAAAAAATCTGTAAAATAAGTCCGTAGAAAAATAGACAATAATATTGCAAACTACAGTTTCTGGTTGATTCCTAATGGGGTTCTTATGGCATGTGACAGGGTGGCTGATAGCACGAGGTTGTTAGAGGCAATGGTCGCTGGCAGTTCTTCATAGAGTATACAAGGGAGGACAAGCTTTTCTGAGAGTTATTACTCACAGTTTAGTGTGCTGCTTTCACTGGGACTGTGTTTCACTCCTGACTCCAGAGTTTGTTCTGTAATGTCCCGCACTTCTGATGCATTTAATATTTATGGTTAGGACACAAGAAGATCAGTTTCTTACAACTTCAAAACACCCTCAGCACTTATATACACGCAACCTAGAGCTGTAACATTTTACAATCACGTATATAGAATATTAGGGTATGTGCATGTGTGCAAATCACAGACAAAAATTAACTGCTTGCTTCCCTCGCCAAAAATGAGCTGGTAGTTCCTCTGTCTCCACACTTCCTTGATTGCCACTCAAGCAGGCCAGATTCAAATGAATTGCTTCGTTTTGTTTCTGTTATCCAGTGATGACAGTGATTGCGCGTATATTTAATCGACAATTTGCATTGCTCACATTATCCAAATTTCACCAATTAGAGTACACTTAATTAATGGGGGAATACACAGCTCTCTCTCTCTACAGTATACAGTTTGCAGTTATTCATTCAGTACAGTCTTTTACTAGTGTTAACGAATTTCGATATATCCTATGCTTGAATCAATCTCGGTGATCCGGCCGTGGTCTGGTGTCCTGGTTACAGTCATCTCAAACCTTCCACGGTCTCCACTTGTCCGGTCCCTCCGACAGACATCGAAACAGAATCGCTTCTGACACGAGTCAAAGAGGAGTTTGTAGAGTCCTCGTCTTTCTTCCTCGATGCCTTCACCCTGACTGAGCTCTTGGGTTGTATTAACTTCAAACACATCTGTATAAGATGGGAGAAGGTGTCTACAACAGTGGAACTTCTGAAAAAGGACTCAAGGTAAGGGACACCTTGGAGATACCAAAAGTGTCCTTTATTCAGAAAAAGTCCTTCGCGAGTGTCCTTTGCAGAAAGGGTATATACCTTTATTCAGAGTGACATTGCACTGTACTGTGTGGCACTTCTGATGTATAATGAAAGACACAAAGATTCTAAAGTCCCCTCAGCACTTTTTCCCATGAAAAGCACTGAAGTTCAAACCCGTGGCAATCTCCGCATACGCGATAGTCTACCGCTGTTGGGCTGGGTTATTAGTCTGAGTTTACTCGCGGTTTCCCACTGGTAGCTCGTAGAGAGTCTTGCTATATATAGTAGTAGAGTCGATACACGCCATCCGTTGTGACTTCTTGTGCCAGGTACACAGAGCGAGCGGACCCAGTCAAGGTAAGCCTGTGAAAATCAGCGAATATAATATAATGCGCATGTGCACTTTTCGCAGCGAAAAAATTGCCATATACGCATTAGACATACAATGCTGGAAGCGCTCTAGCTTTGCAATGGAGCATTTTCAGAAAAAAACGCTCGAAACTTCTGACCTACATTGCCCGTTAAGTAAGTCGTATCGTTTATGAGACGAACAAACATTGGAGAAGTGAGACGTTGAGTAACAGACACACACACACACAGACCCAACTACCGTACCCTCACTGCGCATGCACGCAGAGGGTAATTATGCATACTAGTTAACCTGCACTAGTTGTTAAATTGAAGAAGATGTCGAAGGGGAAAGTGATGGGGCAACTTATTTCTGGCCTTGATACGTTAAGACACACTTCCACTGTTGCAGCAGTAGAGCTCATAGTGTAGGCAGTCCTCTCGAGACCTATTCCAGCAACTACAAAAAGAGCAAGAGGCGGACAAGGAATGAAGATTAAGGGCAGAATGAAAACAAACTGGTTGTAACATGAACATACCGTCGTCATCCACGATCTCAATGATTCCAAAATTCTGAGTGTTGCTGATCTGAATGGCTGAATGATCGTCCTTCAGTTCGATCTCCACAGAGAGCGACTCGGGCAACTCCACTCCAAGAGTGTCCACCACTACCAGCTGAGCACACGCCTCGTTCCGGACAGGATCATATCTCACATCTACCTGTGTCGTACTAAAGTCTTCTGGACGAGCTGCAGCAATAGAATGAGAGGCTACAGTTAATATCGTTTCTTCTTGAGGACAACAGCCACTTACTTGCACTATCTGGGTTAAATGTGAACCGTACATAAAAGGGGAAGGCAATCGATTTAAATGGATGTCCATTGACGACAGCACAAACACTCGCTCTACCAACATTCTCCTGTTCTATCTGGTAGAGAGACTTGAGACGCACCATCGCATCTAGATAAAAACATTGTTGATCCATTGCGAGCGGAATAGAAACCTCTTACTGTCATTGTCATAGATGGTGATGGTCGCATTACTTCTGTCATAGTCAACAGAGTTCACACTCCGAGAAATGCTAACTAAAATGGTTTCATTCATTTCCACAACTTGGTCCTCTGTGATTTGTATCGTCATACACTGCCTGTTTCTGCATTTAGGTATTGTTAGGTATGCCTGAAGACCAGAATAGTCTTCCCCCTCATCTATTGGGAAACAGTCAGTCAACACAAACAGTAGAAAACAACAGGATATAGTACCTGCAGATCCTCTGGTATCAAAAGTTATGTTGAAACCATATTCAACACGACATCCTGTGCTGGCAGACTCCACGACAGCACAGAGTTCGATAGATCTCCCCTCAGTATTATCCGCAACTAGTGGATCCAGTCTCACGGTTGCCCCTGCAATTACCGTCAGATTGTGTGAAACCATCACCAGAAAACAATGTGTAACATCATACTGTCATTATCGTTGATAAAAATGGTTGTAGATGTTCGTCTCAGCTGAACTCTATCGTCCAGGTTTGGAGTCCTTCCCAAACTGACATTGAAGTACTCTCTCTCTTCCACAATATTGTCATCCGTGATGTTGAAATAGACACAATGTCGGGCACACCTTGGCTCAAATATCACACTATGAGACTCGCTGTGAAAATCTGACGTGGTGCCAGTGCCTGGGGAGAGGAAGAACATCATTTGTATGTCGGTGGACCTTTAGATTATGACACAGTATTTAGAGCTAGTTACCGGCAGTGCCAGAGATTGTGGTTAGATGGACTGTGCTGTAGATATCACTTGTTCCATTTATCAGGGCACACACCTGCACCCTACCACTTGACTCTTCCACAGTGTATGCACCATACTGCAAACCGATGGTTATGTCTGGTGAGAGAAATATCATTTCATCACTGAGTAACTAGAACTAAATGCACCCACCATCATCATCAGTAATCTGGACAGTGCTGGTCCTAGCACTAGCTCTAACTCTTGTGTCAGTATTTGCTCTTTGCAGAGACACAAAAAACTCTTCCTCTACCTTCTCCATGATGGAGTCGTCACGAATACTTATAGTTGTACAGGCTACATTGGCGCATCTTGCGAAGTACAGTGTTATTGATGATCCATAATCTGATGGTCCTGTGGTGAGAAAATACATACAGAGTTACTAGCACGTTAAATAAGTGGTGGAAGATGGAAGTCTTGCTGTAAAAAAGATTACCTGCAGTTCTAGCAATTGGAACCAATCTGACACTGAAGGAAAAGTCTAGTTCACAGTCTGCACTGACTGGGAAAGGACTTCGCACTTGAGCACAGATTGCCACTCGTCTATCGGCTTCGTTAACTCTGTAGTTTGAGTTTTGGATGGTGACTCTGGCACCTGCATTTTATGGAGCATAAATTGGAATACGTCACACACAAATAAAGTATGTGCTACTCACTGTCATCGTCCTCGATGGTAACCTCAGAATGTGTGCGATTTAAAAGGATTCTAGAATCCCAGCTGAAGCCTCTGGTTAGCGACACATACAAGTTTTCATCCCCTTCTATTAGCTCATCATTAACAGTTTCAATGTTAACGCAGACTAGAGAGGTACAGGGAGGGATACGTGCCTCGACCGCACTCAGAGCTTCATAGTCTCCAGGTGAATCAGCTGAAATGAAGAAGGTTGTGATTCGAAACAAGAAGATTGCTTATCGAGTAACTTCCATGCCTCCTCTATTCTTACCTGATATGTCCCTTGTGTTGAATATAACTTTGATAGAGAACGGCACAACACAGTCTCCACTTTTTTCTAACAACTCCACACACACAGTCTCTGTCAGTGTTTGGCCTTCCTCTACCCTGTACTCAGCTTCAGTCAGACCAAATGTAGCCGCTGTGGATGGGAAACAGTTGGTCATGTGACAACAACACATTAATCTCATAACATCACATTAAGAACAATGTGTAACATCGTACTGTCATCATCAAGGATAAAAATGGTTGTAGATGTTTGTCTAAGCTGCACTCTATCGTCCAGGTCTGCTGTCCTTCCCAAAGTGACATTGAAGTACTCTCTCTCTTCTACAATATTGTCATCCCTGATGTTGAAATAGACACATTGTCGGGAAATTCTTGGCTTGAATGTCACACTATGAGACTCGCTGTCAAAATCTGACGGTGTGCCAATGCCTGGGGAGAGCATTGGAGAACCATGTATGTAGGAGGACCATTAGTGCTACTTAGAGCTAGTTACCGGCAGTGCCGGAGATTGTGGCTAGACGGACTGTACTGTTGATATCACTTGTTCCGTTTACCAGGGCACACACCTGTACCCTACCACTTGACTCCTTCACAGTGTATGCAATATACTGCAACCAAATGGCAATGTCTGGTGAGAGAAATATCATTTCATCACTGAGTAACTAGAACTGAATGCACCCACCATCATCATCAGCGATCTCGACAGTTCTGGTCCTAGCACTGATTCTAACTCTTGTGTCAGTATTTGCACTTTGCAGAGAGACAATAAACTCTTCCTCTGCCTTCTCCATGATGGAGTCGTCACGAATAGTTATAGTTGTACAGGCTACATTGGCGCATCTTGCGAAGTACATTGTTGCTGATGATCCATAATCTGACGGTCCTGCAGTGAGAAAGTACATACTGAGTTACTAGTATGTTAAGTAAGTGGTGGAAGATGGAAGTCTTGCTGTATATAATATAAAATAAGATTACCTGCAGTTACAGCAATTGGAACCAATCTGACACTGAAGGAAAAGTCTAGTTCACAGTCTGCACTGACTGGGAAAGGAGTTCGCACTTGAGCACAGATTGTCACTCGTCTATCGGCTTCGCTAACTCTATAGTTTGAGTTTTGGATGAAGACTCTGGCAGCTGCATTGTGTGGAGCACAGTAATTAGAACACCTCACACACAAAAAAAGCATGTGCTACTCACCGTCATCATCCTCGATGGTAACCTCAGAAAGCGAGCGATTTAAAAGGATTCTAGAATCCCAGCTGAAGCCTGTGGTTAGCGACACATACAAGTTTTCATCCCCTTCTACTAGCTCATCATTAACAGTTTCAATGTTAACGCAGACTAGAGAGGTACAGGGAGGGATACGTGCCTCGACCGCACTCAGAGCTTCATAGTCTCCAGGTGAATCAGCTGAAATGAAGAAGGTTGTGATTCGAAACAAGAAGATTGCTTATCGAGTAACTTCCATGCCTCCTCTATTCTTACCTGATATGTCCCTTGTGTTGAATATAACTTTGATAGAGAACGGCACAACACAGTCTCCACTTTTTTCTAACAACTCCACACACACAGTCTCTGTCAGTGTTTGGCCTTCCTCTACCCTGTACTCAGCTTCAGTCAGACCAAATGTAGCCGCTGTGGATGGGAAACAGTTGGTCATGTGACAACAACACATTAATCTCATAACATCACATTAAGAACAATGTGTAACATCGTACTGTCATCATCAAGGATAAAAATGGTTGTAGATGCTTGTCTAAGCTGCACTCTATCGTCCAGGTCTGCTGTCCTTCCCAAACTGACATTGAAGTACTCTCTCTCTTCTACGATATTGTCATCCGTGATGTTGAAATAGACACATTGTCGGGAAATTCTTGGCTTGAATGTCACACTATGAGACTCGCTGTCAAAATCTGACGGTGTGCCAGTGCCTGGGGAGAGCATTGGAGAACCATGTATGTAGGTGGACCTTTAGATTCAAATGTGCTACTTAGAGCTAGTTACCGGCAGTGTCGGAGATTGTGGCTAGACGGACTGTGCTGTTGATATCACTTGTTCCATTTATCAGGGCACACACCTGTACCCTACCACTTGACTCCTCCACAGTGTATGCACTATACTGCAACCAAATGGCAATGTCTGGTGAGAGAAATATCATTTCATCACTGAGTAACTAGAACTAAATGCACCCACCATCATCATCAGTAGTCTGGACAGTGCTGGTCCTAGCGCTGACTCTTAATCTGGTGTCAGTATTTGCACTTTGCAGAGAGACAATAAACTCTTCCTCTGCCTTCTCCATGAAGGAGTCGTCACGAATACTTATAGTTGCACAGGCTACATTGGTGCATCTTGCGAAGTACATTGTTGCTGATGATCCATAATCTGACGGTCCTGCAGTGAGAAAGTACATGTATAGGTTATACGATGGCGGCGCGTGGTATACTGGTTGTACACGAGTGGCCAGTTTTGATAGGGCACGAGGGCGTAGCCCGAGCGGTCAATCAAAACTGAAGCCACGAGTGTGCAATCAGTAGACCACATGCCAATGCCCGTATAACGTGTTTGTATGATGACATCCGGCGGTAAGGCTCTGACCAATGAGATTGCGCAAAAGCTTTCAAAATGCCCTCTTTTTAACGCACACCCTCGAGTGTACGGAGAGAGCTAGTTAGCAATCGATCGGGAGAGAGACAGCTGCAATAAACGCTTTAGTTTAGTCAAGCTGGGGCGGTTGTACAGAAGCCATGGTCATTTCTCGAGAGTTCAACGTTACAGGTACGTCAAAGCTATACTTCTTCGCAGCTAGACTCCACACGAGTTTTGTAGCTGCCGCTCTGGCTCGCTTTCTTTCCCGCTATACCCAGCACTCTCGAATCCAGCCTGTTGCCGTAGCAAGAAAGCTGAAAGTCACCGAATACTGTACCAGTCCACGGGAGCCCACGCGTCGGGAAGCAGCTTTCGCTCGTTTTCAGACCGCGTATATACTAGAGCCGTTTCTGGCCATTCTAACCTGAAAACACTCCCTTCTGGTAAAGAACAGCACCACAGCACACAAAGAGTGTAAAAGCCCCCAATTGCATTCCACACTGCCAATTTCCTACTAGAGTAGCTCATCAAAAAGATCGGACACCATGTATATTCGGACAGGCCTCCAGAGCGTACGATAAAATATCATTTAGTTATTCTATAATCTAAGATGTGGTGTTGGAAATGACAATCCTTCGTACCAAGTTTGGATCTTTGACGCGCTTTCGTTGCCGAGTTATGCCCTCGAAAATGTCGACTGCCGATTACGTAACATCGGACATTTTCATCTACAGACGGCGCCCTGCAAATCTCTCTTCATCACAAAGCTTTCTGGAATAATAACAACCTCCAGTAAAAGCTTAGTTCAAGCCCTCCAACCTGCACTAAGAGAAGTTGCCGTCAACCAATAGTATTTCTGCTCACTCCGCGTAGTATTGCAGCCACTTCGGCGATCTAAGATCGGACACGTCTAGCCGCACAAGCGCATCAAACTGACCCGCGTTTGGACTCCATCCTTGCTTTGGAAGCTATGGGCGTAAGTGTTAACACTTAGCCAGCCACGGGCACATAAATATGCCCAGAGCATCCATAAGTCCATAAGAATTTATATAGGGTTATAATACAGTATTAGTGCATTGTACTGCATTATAGACTATATATACTCTTATAGAGTTATGGACGCTCTGGGCATATTTATGTGCCCGTGGCTGGCTAAGGGTTAAAACTTACGCCCATAGCAAGGATGGAGTCCAAACGCGGGTCACTTTGATGCGTATGTGCGGCTAGACGTGTCCGATCTTAGATCGCCGAGGCAGCTGCAATACTACGCGGAGTAAACAGAAATACTATAGGTGAAGGCGACTCCTCTTAGTGCAGGTTGGGGGGCTTGAACTAAGCTTTTACTGGATGTTGTTATATTGCAGAAAGCTTCGTGATGAAGAGAGATTTGCTGGGCGTCCGTCAGTAGATGAAAACGTCCAATGTTACGTAATATCGGCAGTCGAGGGCATAACTCGGCAACAAAAGCGCGTCAATCCTCCAAACTTGGAACGAAGGATTATCATTTGCAACACTACATCCTAGATATAGAATAACTAATTTATCGTACGCTCAGGAGACCTGTCGATTATACATTGTGTCCGACCTTTGATGAGCTACTCTATCGTCTAACTCCTGTAGACCCACTGTGGTTTATGCAAAATGAGTTGACATACAGCTAAAGTATGGTGAAATTGTATGGCCTCTTTATGTTCTAACTACCCATAGACTGAGCAGGAAGTGCTCACTATGCATCTATATACCTAGCTGGAATTCCTTTGATCTTACTCTAAGTCATCATACAAACTGAGTTATAGTATGTTAAGTAAGTGGTGAAAGATGGAAGTCTTGCTGTATATAAAATAAGATTACCTGCAGTTACAGCAATTGGAACCAATCTGACACTGAAGGAAAAGTCTAGTTCACAGTCTGGACTGACTGGGAAAGGATTTCGAACTTGAGCACAGATTGTCACTCGTCTATCGGCTTCGCTAACTCTGTAGTTTGAGTTTTGGATGGTGACTCTGGCAGCTGCATTGTGTGGAGCAGAGTAATTAGAACACCTCACACATGAAAAAGCATGTGCTACTCACCGTCATCATCCTCAATGGTAACCTCAGAATGCGAGTGATTTAAAAGGATTCTAGAATCCCAGTTGATGCCTCTGGTTAACGACACATACAACTTTTCATCCCCTTCTATTAGCTCATCAGTAACGGTTTCGATGTTAACACAGACTAGAGAGATGCAGGGAGGGACACGTACCATAACCGCCACCAGAGCTTCATAGTCTTCAGGTGAATCAGCTGAAAAAAAGAAGGTTGTGATTCAAAAGAAGAAGATTGCTTATCGAGTAACGTCCATACCTCCTCCATTCTTACCTGATATGTCCCTGGTGTTGAATATAACATTGATAGAGAACGGCACAACACAGTCTCCACTTTCCTCTAACAACTCCACACACACAGTCTCTGTCAGTGTGTGGCCTTCATCTACCCTGTACTCAGCTTCAGTCAGACCAAATGTAGCCGCTGTGGATGGGAAACAGTTGATCATGTGGCAACAACACATTAATTTTTCTAACTTACTATCATCGTCTATGATGGTAACACTTGTCTTGTTCCGGGAGCCTATTTTGATGAGAGGATCAAGCTGGTCATTCCTCATGAGACTGATGTCAAAATCCTCCTCTTCCTCCACCTCTTTGGTGTCCACAATACCAACGGAGAAACACTGCCTTCGGTGACATGCTTCAATTATTAGATCACCCATCGTGTCCTGGGATACATAGTCCTCTTGATCTGTGTACAGAAAGTTGTTTATTAAAGAGCACAAAGCATTTCTCAGCGCATTACAACAGACACATTCTTAGTTGACACGGTAGATGGAAGAATGAAGAACTGGTAGAAATATGCAGGTCAGGAAGGAGAGAGAAAGAACAAACTTTTGTTAGGAGTCAAACTCAGGAATTATGACTCGAAGTCCAGTACACTAGGCACTGTGCTACAACTCCCTGACGAAAGCTGGTCTTCCTCATTTATTCCAAGTACAGACATATTTGCATAATTAAAGCTCTTACTTGCACCACCGTCTTCACCGTCTGCTCCGAGTATTAGTGAGAAGTCATAGCCAACGGGACAGTAGGAATGTCGACTGGTGATAGCCACACACAATTGCACTTGTCCAGCCTTCTCTCTCACAATGTACACCGTCCTTTCAAACTCCACTGTAGCAACTGCAGAGCATCAAAAACAACAGATACCCAAGCCTCTTTCCCTTGTAAATCTCTATCTGTTGAAGACTTCTTTGCTCTCAGCACATAACTGAAATGACTAACTAATTCTTATTTGTACAAGAGTGAGTGAAACTTATTTTCCAACAGTTCAGTCCTCTCACAAGGACCTTCCTCAGGGATGAGTACAAAACAGAGCTGCCTTGTTACTTCATATAAAACTAAGTTTTGAGTCTCGAAATTTGTTGTTGGTTCTCAATGCCATAAGGAAAACAGGTTATCAACGTGGGTTACGAGCTAAGAACAATGAAAATGCTGACCAGCAGATTCGTGACTCAAAACTTTAGTCTTATATGAACAACCAACCCAGAGTTGAGAGGAGATCTAAATACACAGTGGGTTACAAGAAAACGATCAAGTTATTGCACGAGGCGATCTCACACACAAGAAACCTCCAGACCAATGTCTCTGTTTTTCAAGTTGCAAGGTACAAGAATCACTTGACATTCAACCTGAGGTACCTACATCGTAAACTTCTTCTTTGTGATCTGCGTTTCCGGTCACCAGTGAATGTGTCATGTAAGAGATATTTCGCAGAATACCGGTCACTGTCTATACTACAAGAGAGAGTTACAGTTACAAGATCCATCCTCCAACGTCACATCATGAATGTGGATCAATATGAGTCACTACTTAAGAAACATCTCTCTCCTTAGGATTTTGACAGGGTTCTTCAACTATGCAATTCCTACATGAATGAATTTCGCAAGGTGTAAACAAGACAACAGAAAACATTCGGAGGACTCATGGCCAAAACATCATCAAACACAGAGAAAAACACAAGCTACGATAAAAGCGGTTGATAAAAGTCGTTGGGTTATCAATATTTCAACCATCAACTTTCTGGTTCAGAACAATCCCTCCTGAAGAAAAGCATAAGTTTCAACATCACTCTTTCAACAACAGATGCTCTAAGTTTTGTAGTTCCTATTGTTTTGAGAGGCCTTCCTGATACTGTCTGTGGTTTTGGAGAAGACAACTCCAACTTGTGCAAACATCAGTCTTGCAGAGAAAAAAGCCATAAAAACCTCCAAGAGAACAAAGTTGATGATTCTTCCAGCTGACAAAGGACGTGCGACAGCAGTTAGAATATGAGGAGAAAGCACTTGCTCTTCTTGACGAAGACCAATACAAGCGACTAGCTAAAGATCCAATGTTGATATACGAAAGAAATTTAACCAGTTTTCTGCTACACTTAAGGAGTTTACTCCCAGATAAGTCTTACCGGTTCATACGTCCATCAGGCAGCGTAATTCCTCTTTCTACGGTTTGCCAAAGATCCACAAACCAACTATTCCTCTCCGTCCCATTGTTTCATGTGTGGGCTCCGTTCGTTACAATTTAGTGAAATTTTTGCTTCCAGTCCTTAGACCTACGTTTGGTGCCTCTGAACACCATGTTTTAAATTCTACCATCTTTATCGATAATGTGAGGCTCTCACAAAATGAGGTTCTTTGACGTACAGTCTTCACTAGCATACCTACTAGAGAGGTATTATAATTGCTGGACAAGCTTATAAAAAGATTATTCCCTCCACCACCGTACTCTTCTTCCACCTAAAGATTATCTTGAAATTAGTCCTATTTCCGTTTCAATGGTGGAACAGAAGGAAGGTCTTGCAATAGTTTCTCCCATCTCACCAATCCTAGCCAACATGTATATACATGGAGAGTCATCACAGAAAAGTCCCAGGATATGGAAGCGATACGTTGATGATGTTCCAACTTTGAACTACACCAGCCACCATCTAGTGTCGGTTAAAAGGTCTGTAGTGAACACTCTATTTAAAAGGCTTAAGGTAATTCCATCAGATGAAACACCAAGAGAGAAGAACACTCATTAAGTATAGCAAACCAGTACCCTTCTACATTTTTACGTCAACCTTGTGCTCAAAAATCTCAAGATCCTCTTTCCACCCCACTAAAAACAGTGTGCATTCCTTACATTTCTGGAGTCTCTGAGAGAATTCGGCATAATATTATAGGACAACATAACATCCGAACTACGTCTCGTACAGCGAACACCCTCAGATCCACCCTTTCCCACTCAAAGTCTTCTACTCCCAACCTAGAGAGATCAGGAGTTGGTACTCCAAACCATGTCAAGACTGTGGTTACCACTACATTGGGGAGACAGGTCTACGTCTGTCAAACAACACAAAGATGCTGTCAGGAAGGGAGAAACGGAGAAGTTGGCTATAGCGCAACATCTCTGGACAACACAACATTCTATGAACTGGGGAAACATTCATGATGTAGATAAGGACAAAGATTCCATCCCCAGGAAGATCAGAGAGGCCCTATATACACATCAGACGACATGGAGGCAGATTGAAACACAGAGACAGTGGTCTGGTGGTTTCTTGTGTATGGGATCGCCTCTTGCAATAACTTATTTGTTTTCTTGTAACCCACTGTGTATTTAGATCTATTCTCAGCTCTGTTTTGTACTCATCCCTGAGGAAGGTCCTCGTGAGAGGACTGAAACGTTGGGGAAAAACCTTTCACTCACTCTGGTACAAAAAAGAATTAGTTAGTCAAATCCTATCTATCTCACTCCCCATTGGATCAGCCATAAAATACTTTACACTAAGGCAAGGAACGCTAACTCGGCCGGCATGGAAAGTGTAGATATGTATGAATGTATGCAAGTCAGTGAGCACAACAGTCTGAGCGACACTGTGTTGCAGCAGAAGCTATACCTAGCTAAGGCAGGCAGCTCCAGGGTATTGCAATGCTAAGCCATAGCTTCGTGCTATGCCACATTATATCAGCAAGATGACCTTGAGTGAATATGTAAACTAGCTTACTCTCCCTCTCTCCCTCTTACTGTCAGCATCAACGATGGACACCACTGCCACATTGTCTTCTAATCTGATCCTGGGGTCCAGACTATATGTCCTACTCACAGTGACAGTAAACGTCTCTGTGTCTTCTTGGGTGTCGTCATTGGTGATGGCTATGTTGTAACACTCTCTAGTCTCACGAACAGAAAAATAGAGTGATCTTCGTCGTAAAGCACCGAAATCACCCCGGTATGTGCTGACTATAGGGTAAAACACACCAAAGCAAGTACAGACCACATAATGTCTGGATGATAGCTACTTACCAGCAGTGCCGTCAATAGTGTTGAGCAGAACAGAGAAGGAGAAATCGATTGGAGTATCTATAGCTGGGCTGTCAACTTCAACACAGACTGTAATAGTTATATTCTCCTCTTCGACAATGTATGCCACTTTGTCCAGCTTTAATACTGCCTCTGGAGAAATGGTGCACAGACGCGGTCATAAGCACACATACAATCCCCACAACATTTTATACTTATACAAGTAGAAAAATCATTTCTTCAAAATGAAGGGGGATATAGGGATGGCTTGAAGCACCAAAAAGGAAGAAACAAGGGGTCATTACACAGAAAAGATGCACAAAGCTACATGACACCATCCCTATATCTTTGTCTCATATTAAACTTTGCAATTGTAACGCCTAGCGGTCTTCTAGCTCTGATAGGTAGCTTCAAAATAGCTTTTTAGGATAGGCATAGACAATCTAGAGACCAGGATCAATGAGGATACAAGAGTCACTGTCTAATTTACACACTCACCAAAATGATACACAACACACGCGCTCACTGGAGCTCTCACGTGACACATTACATAACAATAATATGAGCATGCGTAAATGATGGAGTAGCGATGATAATAGTCCTTACACATCCCCCCTCTGAGCCGAGAGGTCGTCCTCGACTCTCAGGTGAATACAAAACTAAATGAGCAGTTACGATTTGGTCTTGGAACGAGTCGTTGGTCCTTGGGTTGAGGTAGGGGTAGCAGCAATGGACTCCACCGACTCTGTAGGGACAAGCTTCTTTTTCTTTCTCCGTCTTTTCTTCTTCTCACCAGTCCATGTAGTGATTCCCTGTTCCGGATGACACAACCGAATCCGATTCAGGTTGACGAAGATTGGGTCGTCATTTGGGTAGTCTATCAGGCGAACCTCAGCATTAATTTCAGTGACATTCAAGACTCGATAAGGTCCATAATATGGGCGTCTCAGCTTATGCTCATATCCTTGAAGATCAGACAGCATGTACACCATCACACGATCACCAACCTTCAACTTCACTTCATTAGCTGAACGATCATAGTATTTCTTTTGACGGTTTTGAGCAGCTTGAATATTCTCAGCAGCTAACTTCCAGGCAAGTGAGAGGTTGCAGAGTAGATCGCTCTTATAGTCGTCGACATCTACCATATAGGGACTTCTTACGTGGCTCAGAACTGTCTCGGTTGGGAGTCGAGCATCCCTACCACACACAAGGAGAAACGGTGACTCCCTGGTCGACGCTTGTGATCTCACTCTATAGGTGAACAACAGATACGGCAAGTGGATGTCCCAATCTCGATCAGACACAGTACATGATCATCTGGATGAGAGTAGAGTTGAACTTCTCCACGAGTCCATCTGTCTGAGGATGATAACCCGATGTGTTGATTTTCTCGATGTTCAACAACTGACAAACCTCCTGGATCACACTGGATAACAGCTCCTCCGGAATACCGTGTCTGCAGACGATTCGTTCCACGAATAGCTTGGCTACTGTTTCAGCCTTTTGATCTGGGATGGCAAACACTTCAGGCCATTTCGTCAAGTAATCCATAAACACTGCAACGTATCGATTTCCATTGGCAGTAATTGGCAGCTGCAAGATATCCATGGCAATACAATGAAATGGACCACCAACAGGGGGGATGGGTTGTAGAGGCGGACGACATGTGGCCAGCAAAACGACCACAGTGTAACTCCTTCAACAGGACATGGTGCAAAGGCTCAGGGACGACAACGCAGGATCGATCTGGGAATGCAGGGTTCTCATGGTACAGAACATCGGCAACAACTTGGAATTGTCTCCAAAACGACCTTGCGACAGCTGAGTTCATCATTCGGCAGAACTCCATTTGTCAAGTAGTCGACTAGTTCAGAACAGTGACTGTCCTCTTGTTGTAGTCGCGGACTTCTTCCAAGTCAGGGAGAGTTGGTTGTTAAGACTGCTGTTTACTTGCGTCAGTTCGCCTCTCCGTAGGGGGCGATCTTGATAGAACGTCAGCATTGGTGTTCTTTTTGCCGCCTTTGTGCTTGATGGTGATGTCCATCTCTTGAATGGTCAGAGCCCACCTGGCTAACTTTCCAGACGGCTTGGGAGTATTCAGGATTGCAAGACAAGCGGCGTGGTCTGTGTACACTGTGCACAGCAGGTACGGACGAAAGTAGCGGACAGCCCAGACTAAATCAAGAGTCTCGAGTTCCGAAATCCCGTAATTTTTCTCGCACTTGTCGACTGACCGAGAGGCATAGGCTATTGGATGGACTGTCCCATCATCCTGCATCTGTGAAAGGACTGCACCGAGACCAACAGTACTTGCGTCTGTTTCCAAGATGAAGCTGTGACCTGGACCAAACTTTGGGTAGATCAGCACTGGTGATGTTGACAACGTAATCTTGAGTTCGTTAAACGCTGACTCACACTAATCTGTCCATTAGAATGGGACACTCTTCTTGGTGAGGGCATGTATCGGAGAGGCTATCGAGGCAAACTTAGGCACAAAGTGCCTATAATAAGAAGCAAGTCCCAGGAATCTCCTTACTTCTGTCACATCTGTCGGTGTGGGGTAGTTCTTGATCCTCTCTGTCTTGGCTGGATCGGGCTCGATACCTTGTGCTGCGACCACATACCCTAAGAATGGCACCTTGTCTCGAATGAGTTCACACTTCTTTGGCTTGAGACGTAGGTTGGATGAGCGGAGACGACCGAACACTTCCCGAAGATGAATGAGATGATCCTCGAACGTGTTGGAGGCGACTAACACGTCATGAAGCAGCTCTTGTACTCCAGACCCGAGAGAACTGTCTGCATGAGCCGTTGAAATGTCGCCGGCGCATTGCATAAACCAAAGGGTATTCTGATGAACTCAAAGAGCCCATTGCAGGTTGTAAATGTACTATTCTTTCTGGCGTTTTTCATCCAGCTCAATCTGCCAGTATCCTGATGCGAGATCCAATGACGAGAAATACTTTGATTCTCCGAGGGCGATCAGGATATCATCCACACGGGGCAGTGGGTATACATCCTTCCGTGTAATGGAATTCAGTCGGCGATAATCGACACAGAATCTGAGAGTTCCACCCTTTTTCGGTATGAGGACAACGGGACTAGCCCCGGGGCTTGACAATGGTTGGACAACTCCCTGTTCTTGCATGTCAGAGACCATCTCGCTCATCTTCTGTCTCCTGATGACTGGCGTGCGATACGGTTGCTGCCCGATTGGAGGGTGATTTCCTGTCTCGATACTGTTCTGTACTAGATCAGCACATCCCAACTCCATATCATCCAGTGAAACACATCACTGAAATCGCAGATTGCAGCTTTAAGTTGCTCACCCTCCTCTGGCGAGAGTTTGTCGAGGGGTAACTTGAGTTCCCTTAGGAGTCGTTTCAGTCGCTCTAGTGATTGGGCTGTGGTCTTGACTACGGCAGTAGAACTCGGTAGAGTGTGAGTAGTTTCTTCACAGCATAACGGAGGCAAGTCCAAGGGTCTTAACATACCAATTTCCTCACCAGCATCCAGGTGTGCAGTAAATACTTGGGAATTCTCCACGGGTAGGAACACCTTGCCTCCTTCAGCAGTGACTAAACACTCCAACGCTGAGAGACCACGACTTCCTAACGCTTTCTGATTGGGTTCAAACAGAAAGTCTCCATCTGAGAGCGCCACACTGGGATTGGTTGCGACGGCCGGTAAGGCACATCCTTCATGTGAGGGGATGACAGCAGACGTCAGTAAACTGACTTTCGAGACAGCAGGCTTTGTAGGGTTATCTGGCTTCTGTTCCGATGGTAAGATCTGTGTGCCATTACTGAGTCTCACTTCGATACCAAGGAGGGGAAGGGCATTCATCCCGAGTAAGCAGGCTTGCTCACTGTCGGGTTGCACGAAGACCGGCACTGTCACGGAGTTCTGTCCCAGACTGACAACGAAGGGGGACCTGGGCAGTGGTGTAAAGGGGTTTTCCTCCCTTCTCATTATCCTTGCCGTATAGACGGGCTGTAGGTAATTCCAATTCTGGCGGTTTGACCACTGCATGTAACGTGGATCGAGATATGATAGTGGGTTGGGCTCCAGTGTCCAGCAGTGCTTTGACTGGCACACTTTCAATCTTGACCTCCACCTCCAACAGGGGACCAACTGTACCAGCCATACCCTCAGATGTAGCATTGATGGTGTTGTTGCTGCTTGGCAGGAGTGCTCCCTCCTTAGCTAATCTCTTCTGAGCGAGAAGTTGTCCGTCAGGTCGGCAGCAAAGGTTCCAGCATTGGAAGAATTCCCAGTATTCACGGTAGACTTTGACCTTGCAGGGGCTTCACTCCTCACAGGGCAGTCTCGACGTAAGTGACCAATCCCCTTGCAGATATAACAACGTCGTTCCTTCGGCTTGGTGGAGTTAGCACTTTCCTCAGGATTCGTCCGAGGACTGTCCGGTTCAGTCTTCTTCTGCGAAAAAATTTCTCCTTGGGTCTACAGATCCAGACTTCCTCCCTGACTTCCTGGTACGTGAGGCGGAGAACTGTTTCTCCTGTTCTTCCAACATTCGTGCTTGTGCTAGCAGGTCGTGAAAACTTTCGTCAGGCTTCGGGGCTCTCAACTTTCTCTGCCACCTAACCTGCAAGGCCTGGTAGAATTGTCCTTTTAGCAATCGATCAAAATCCTTGCCAACAATTGAGGGGAAAGCTTTCCTTCCGAGCTGTTGGATACTAATTCCCAGCTGGTCAATGCTCTCGTCACCTTGAGTTTTGTGATGAAACTCCAGTCTGCGCAGTTCCTCAATGTCCTTGGGCTTGAAGCGCTTGCCCAGTGCACAGTGATGGCACTTTCAATGTTGCTGGATTCAGGGTCAGGCAGCATACGGAACACTTTGTCTAGGTGTAGCTTCAACTGGTACAGTTGATCCTCCACTGACCAACTAGCGAACCTAGCTCTCTCTCGAAATCTCTGCACCCATTTGCCGTAGCCATCATCTACAACGTCACTGTTCTCACCAGTGTAACAGGGTAAAGGCGGGAGATTCTGCACAGCAACTGCCTTAGCTTGCGCGGCTATCGCATTTGTCTGTGCTTGCAGCAGGCAAGCCATCGTTGAAACAATGTAACGTCTGTACTCGAAGTACCAGTTAACCCCCATCACTGAACGCCGTAGACAGTGAGCTAGTAGTTACCACCGGGGGTACCACAGTTGGGCTTGGCAGAGGAGACACGATGTGAGTGAGTCATCACGGGCGTGAGGCTAGTCGAGGTCGAAGAAACAGCAGCAATGCTAGGTTCAAAGGGAGAAGCAGTGGCTGACAGGCTGCTATACAATGTAGAGGCATGCAGTAGTTCATTTGCAGTCTCGCTACGCGGCGGTGAACGCGGGCTGTTAGGCGGCACTCGTAATTGCTAACGCCGTCGTCCCCGAGAGGTCATGACCTTCCGGAGTAATTGGCCTACTCCCGGGCCCCTCCCCGTGAGTCATGCTATGCTCACGTGTACTAACCGCAGGTCCACCGACCTCTTCCAACACAGCTATCCTCTCCAGCAGCTGCATCCTCCTGGCTTTTCTTGATCTCTTTGATCCACAGCTCTGCTCAATCCGTCTCCTTCTCTAGTGCTCGTTGATGCTCTTGCGGCAACTGTCCTGAGTTCCTCCAGTTCACGGTCCCGTCTTCGCAACTCTTCGCGTAGACGTTCCATCCGGACAGAAAGTTCCTCCACCGTGCCGGTAGCTGCTGGTTCCTCACGTTCAGACATCTGGCGTATCTTCCCAGGGTGCGCTTTTAACTGTAGGCAAATACCTTTCGATAGTCCTTTGAGCTCCTTTGCTGACATCAACCAGTCGGACGGTTCGTATCCCAAATCCTGGCAGGGTCGCCAACTGTAACGCCTAGCGGTCTTCTAGCTCGGATAGGTAGCTTTCAAAATAGCTTTTTAGGATAGGCATAGACAATCTGGAGACCAGGATCAATGAGGATACAAGAGTCACTGTCTAATTTACACACTCACCAAAATGATACACAACACACGCGCTCACTGGAGCTCTCACGTGACACATTACATAACAATAATATGAGCCTGCGTAAATGATGGAGTAATAGTCCTTACACAATAAAACAAGGATTATAGGGATGGTGTCATGTAGTTTTGTGCATTTTTGCTGTTTAATGACCCCTTGTTTCTTCCTTGGTGTTTCAAGCCATCCCTATAATTATCCCCTTCATTTTGAACTAATGATTGTTCCACTTGTTTACACTATTTTTAACGGCTTATGACAACACTACATTTTCAGTCACTCTGATGTTCATGGGTATGTTGTAGAGAGAACTGTCGAAAGCAGAAGTTAATGTAGGGTGTATGCGTAGTGTCTCCAACAACGATACGATTAGGTTGTGGCACATATGGTGGGGTGGTATCGTAGGCAGGCTTCAGTAATCAGACTACAATGATAGCTATAACCTGGGGGACAAACAATGAAGGTGGCTAGCATCACAGCGCAGACTGCCAAGTTGCTCCTCGTGCAAATCAACAGCAAAACGCGAACTAGCCAGTTACAAATGTGTATACTGACTTACAGAAGGCACTGGAGGGATGAGAGTTCCTCTGCAGGCATCCTGGCTTAGTCTCGTGGACTTGGTTTACGAGCGAGAGCAATGCACGCGTACTGCATTGGAAACGCCCTCCTCGGCTCATGCGGCTCACTGATGCTGAGTTAGCAGCAAATGGCGTTGTTCAGTGACTACCGTGAAAGAGCTAAACGATCTACCGTAGTGACATGCAGCAAGAAACAAAACAATCGCTTGATATGCGTCCACACCTCCGGCAAATTGGGAGTTGTTCTGTGAAAAAATCAACGCTTAAAGTGCTTCCGGTAAGGAGATAGCAGGTCTGAAGATGACACAAAAATCGCTAAAATCGCGTAAGAGTGAATTCTCTCGTGGGGAACTGAAGGCACGTAGGAAGTCTTGGGGCATATGTATAGCTAGGTATTGGCCTCTAGACTATTGCTAGTGATTTTTAATCCATGGCGAGTCATTCTCGCCCACTTTTGAGGCGTTTTGTACACGGGATTTCACCCGTGCCATCCCTATATAGAGTGTCTACCGACGCTCTAATACCATCTGTGGGGTCATCAATAACTGTGAGTGTTCCAATTGCAGTGTGGATGATGATCCTTCTGTCAAGATCATATGCTCCCTCCAGTCGATATGTATATGTTTTTGTCAGCTCAAGTTGTTCATCATCGTCAATTGGAATGGACACGCATGCTCTGCGAGAACACGGTCCAAATATCATTGGGAAGTCCTCTGTGATTGGGAAACGGATCATTCGATAAAATTCAGTGTAATGACAGACAACGTACCCCCATGAACCGATAGATTTATATCAAAGTGAAAAACAACTGGACAGGAGCTGCGGTCTGGTGTTGGGTCGTAAATCTCTGCACATATATTGACTGCCGCGTCCACCCCTTCCGTCACAGTAAACGTCCTTTGCTCCAGTCGGATATAAGCCTCTGCATAGGAAATTGGGTCACGTAATGACTGCAATTCAAGATCACGAAGCAAAATGTGACAAATAAGCTGTCGCAAAGTAGTAAACAGAGGGTTCCATAGTTTACTAAATAAAATTTTACATAAATAATTTTCATGCCCAAACAAAGTTGTAATTAGTGCTAACTCACTTTCCGAATCATCATGGATGATAACTTCAGCAATGAAGGGATCAGGTCTTACACGAGGGAAATTGCTGGTTAGGAGGAGGTCAAATGTCTCCACATTCTCAACCTCCACATCATAGGGATTATTGACAAAGGTAATACGACGGGGAGCACACGCACTTCTACTGCAACGGGCAAACTCTATTGTTTGGATTCGGTAAGCCACATAGTCTGAATTGTTGACTTGAGGGGTGATAGTATCCAAGGTGAATAAGTGAGCACACAGATACAGTAGTCATTACCGGCAGTGCGATCGTAAACGTATAAGGTCAGGGATAAGGGAGTGGTGACTGGACAGGACACTCCAGGGCTGACCACTCTTGCACAGATTGTTAAACTACCACTTGTTTCCTGGACACTGTACTCCGTTCTATCAAAAGCGACAATCACCACTGCAAAGAGAAGACAGAGAAAGTTGAATGAGAGCGTAAAAGTGAGGTACATATGTACTATCTTCGTCTTCGATGGTAACAGTAGCCACTGTAGGATGAAGCGTGATATCATCTGTGCTTCCTCTAGGCAGGTGTATTAGGGTGAGGTTAAAGGTTTCCGCGTCTTCAATGAGGTTATTATCGATTATATCTACCGTCAGACATTGCCTCATAGCGCATGCACCAAACCTCAGAGTTGGGTCTCTCACCCTATAATCACTCCCTTGGACTAGATGGAGAGAGATAGATAGAGAGATGTATACTAGAACATACTCTAGTTTCAGAGCGTACATGCAGTGGCCGCAGTTGCGACAAACAGCAGCTCAAAGGGGAAGACAATGGGACAGTCAACGAGAGGAGCATTCACCACCACACACACATAGAGTTTCAACTCATTTTCCATCACAGTATATGTCGTATTCTCTAGTCCCACAGTGGCCTCTGCAATGGAAACAAACTGTATGATCAATATTGATGAATCACCATCATGCCCAAAGACTAACAATACCAGCAGTGTCTGATAAATGGACTGGCTAGTAGTTGCATCTACTCACCATCGTCGTTAACTATCGTGATCTCCACTGATGGAATGCCTAGTGTAATGTGACTGTGAGGATGGGTGATGTTTATTCTTGCAAAGAACGACTCTGTCTGCTCCAGCATGTCGTCATCATTGATGGTAACACTGGTGCAAGCCCTATTCTGGAATGCCTGGAATGTCAGCTGTAGGCCGTCTACAGCCACAAAGTCTTCCCCATCTGAAAAACACTCCATAAAATATCACTAAGTATGGTAATACTTAGTAAATAGGTATGACACAGGTTGTCCTGCATTATGCCCATACATTTGAGATTTTCATATTTCACTTTCAGTTTCAATCAGGTCCAACTTTTAACACATCGGACTAATTTGTATTGTCACAAAAAGCATGTATCCAAGAAATAGCTCTAATCACATAATCGGTACTTGATTTATTTTAAAAAGTCACTTCTCAATTTTCTTCTTGTTGTTGTTCAGTTTCAACAAGCGTATCTCAAAAAGCAGGTTAGATATGGAGATAAAACTTTGCACAAAGATTGGAATCCATGACAGGTCGAGAAAGAGCATTTTATTTCTTCGTAAACAATTTTGTTTACATGTAAACAACAACAAATGAAAAGCACTGAAGTGCAAACCCTCGGCACACTGTGACGCGCACGCGTAAGTAAACACATGCGCCGTACCACTAATTGATGGGCTGGGTTTAGTTTTAACTGTTACTCGTGGTCTCTTGCCAGCTCGCGCAGAGTCTGACGCGGGCTAACTACACTACTAGAAAGTATGCGAGAGGCGATACACGCCCTGCGTTGCATCTTCTGGTGCCTCTGAAGTACGCAGAGCACGCGGATCGATCCGGCTGTGGTAAGCCATCCCGTCCGTTGTGTATTTGCATATTGGCTTTTTTGCGCTCTAGCTTTGCAACGGAGCAATTTCAGAGAAAACCGTTCAAAATTTCTGACCTTCATTGCCTGTTAAGTAGGTCGTATCCTTTGTGAGACGAACAAACACCCGAGAAGTGAGATTGAGAGTAACAGACAGACACACACACACACACAGACAGACCCAACTACTGTAACCCTCGCTGCGCATGCGTGCCGAGGGTTAATAACCCCAGGCAATACATAATTATAGAGACAAATAAAGTGTGCTAACTGGGTAAAGCTAATACCTAGAATATAAAACTTTGTACACACATGCAACCCATCATTAGCATCAAAATGTAAACATTACAAGTTTGTAAACAACAACAAACAGCCTCAGGCAATAAAATGATGTTTGTGCCTGTAACTTGCATTATGTGGGTCCTCTAACAACGAAACTTGGTACACTGATTTACAACGATGAGAGTTCATCGAGAAATTACAAGTTTGTATACAACAACAAACATCCTCAGGTAATAAATACTTGTAAATGATGTTTGTGCCTCTAACTTGCTTATTGTGGGTCCTCTAACAATGAAACTTGGTAGCTACACTGATTTACTGCGATAAGAGTTCATTGAAACATGAATTACAAGATTGTAAACAACAAAAAACAGCTTCAGGCAATTAAGTGCTGTTTTTCCTATAACTTTGTACACTTATCTATTGGAAGTGAAATAAAAATGTAGATGACGACTAACAGACCGAGGCAATAAAATACATGTTACGTTTTATATGGACATTATGCCCCAATGCATGTGCATGCCATAAAAAAAGGAAAGGAGACAAGTAAATAAAAAATTCTGTGAATTAAAAAGTGTGGAATATAGGGATGCCATAAAAAGCAAGGAGACAAGACAGGTATGACCTGGGCATGTGCAGTAGTACAATGGGATGATTGTTACATCTTCAAACTGACATTTCTTGCTCATGTAAATTTTATTCTACACAAGCTCTATATTGTCACAAAGCATGAGTGATCTCTATCGTATGATGTGCAGCTATGACTCGTTTCCTATGCATGTAAGACTGGTAGCAAATGCCCTCTCTGACAGGTCCTCAGTTTTGAATCGTCACTGTGTTTACTTCAATGTTCGCTCAACTAACCGGTTTTACAACGCTGCTTTCCCTACAGAATTCGTTTGCCAGTCTTCTATTCAAAATTCATGTCATGCTCTGGTGCGTTAAGGCCTGTCCGCGAGCAGCAAACCGGAAGCTGGACGGAATCACGTAACCACGTCCCCGCAGTAACGTTTCATGGAAAATATACGGAATCACGCTACGTACCGACGTCATTTCACGAATCTGCGCATGCGCGGAACGCCGGACGCGTAGATGTTTTTCACAACTGTTTTTCGCTTAGGCCGAAGGGTTCCGCTTGGTCTATAACTACTTTGTTACGTTAAGAAAGACAAACGCAAAGTCCTCTGACTGTTTATCCAACGGGGAAGGTAAGCAACTTGACAGTTTTAGATGCAGGGCTGGGCGCGGTTTCGATATTTTAGTTCGTTATCGATGCGTTGTTAGTTTTTTTTTCATTTCCCCGTTGGATCAAGATTTACTTTTGTATGTACTTGTTTCTCTGAGCTCAAGATTAATTCCTAATTCGAAGTGTAAGCAATCCGCCTAAACGCATATACGAATTACATGTAAACAAACAAACAAATAATGTGGGCGTGGTCACAATTTGTTAAGGGAGTTAAGACCCATGAGTTTTATCACTGTACCAAGTTTGAAAGTAAAAGGTAATGTTACACTCTCAAAACAAACAAAAATCTAAAATTTTGCATGATTTTGATGCACCCAGGCCTTAATGCACTAGAGTGAGTACGAGTGGCGACAATATAGGGCTTGTGTGGAGTAAAATCATAATGTATCTCACCTGCGCTGTCAAATGCTGTAAAGAATGTAATGTTGAAATCTCTATCTCGACTGCAGGGCCTTCCCTCTTCATCATTTTGAATGATGACACATATATTCACCGTTCCTGCACCCTCAAACACAATCCTTGGCCCATCCAGGCTCACATAGATAGCTAGATGGAAGTGTATATATCATCACCATCGTAACTACTAGGACCACGGCTGTGGAATAACAGACGTACTTTGTTCATCTGTGATCTTCACTTTGCTCCCTCCACCGTCCACACTGACCCTGCTTCTCCTGTCTTCAGGCTCAAAGTTATCGAGTTCAAGTTTGAAAAATTCCAGTTCTTCCAAAATGCAGTCATCCAGGATGGGTACATCCATACATTGCACTCTGCTTCCAGCTCTAAATTGCAGAGTTGCATTTGCGGCAGTGTAGTCCTCACCGACCACTGGAAAAGAACATAAACTTGACTCTTATTGCGTGCGTTGCAGCTACAATGGGGGTATAGCCCCCCACACACACCCAGTTAGAAATTAGAAACAGTATTACCTGCAGTTGACCCTTCCTCTATAGTTGTAAAATTGACAGAGAAATCAAAGTCCACCAGTGGCACAACGCTAGCACACACTCTAACTTTACCACTGTCAACTCCTTCATCGACTACGTAGGGTTTCATGGAGAACAAAACGATGGAAACTACAGAACAAAGTCAACAAGGACACAGTTATAGTGAAAAACCGTTCAAGGGACGGTGATAAATAAGGAAACTTAAGCACACAGTAATTGACCATGTATTATACGGAGACACACAAACAAAGATGGCGTTGACGTCTAAATTAGAATCAAGACCACGCAACCTTCCCGCTCCTCCCTCTTCCCCATGCAATCTTGAGAATTGGACTGCTGAATGCTGGGATTAGCAATACAGCCTACATAAAATAACCTTTTGTCACTGTAATTTTCATCACATTGCTATTTTGTAACATGAGTCAGTGATGATATCCCTAGACAACAGAGAAAACTTAATTGGGGTTAAATGGAAATTTCGTTTTTGTTACACCAGTTTGGCTCTGCTTGGTATCATGTTATGGCTAACTCAGCAAAACCTACAATCTTCATCAATGATGGTGACTGTTGCAATATCCTGTTGAAATGTAACAGCTGTGACTCCCCCACTGCTAAATTCCAATGTCACATTGAACTTTTCAATCATATCCTCATCGTTGTTCTTGATTTCGATTGTGAAGCAGTGCTCTTGAGCACAAGCATCATATCGGAATGGGTTGTCCTCATCGTAGCCTGGGTCTACATAGTCTTCACCTTCAGCTACACACAAGAGAGAGGGTACATTGCAATGTGTCCCAGTAGCTGTTTATACATACTTGCAGTTATACCAGTGACTGTAACAATGAACTCTAGTGGATGCACCACAGGGCATTCAATGGTATCTGGACTCTTGACCTCCACACAAATCTCAACTTCCTGATCGTCTTCCTCTCTGACTGTGTAGGCCAACATCACAAAGCCCATCTCAGCCACTGAAAGTGAAATTAATACATCAGATAGAGATTTTATCTGCACAAACGGCAATTTTTTATCCGCTGGAAACATGGCTATTAGCTAATGATGTGTTTCATTCACTAAACATTATAATCATAGCTGCTCATATAGAGCATTGCCTGAAATAAAAATCGCTATGATAGAGAGCTAGCAAGTTTAGGGAGAAGGCCATGTCAAGGATAGGTGGTAGTGCATGGGTTTGCTCCAGCAGTGACTCTGCACATACTTTACATACGCATGTGTAGACCTGTGTAGGGTTTTGCACATATGTGCTGCTAAGACCCTTGTGTGAAAGCTATCCTCCTTAAAGACAAAACGTCACAAAAATGCTCAAACGTGCTTTGGAAGGGGCTTACCATCGTTATCAACGATGATCACCTCAGCCATATTACCGGTCAGGATTACCCCACCAGGCGTATTTGCTACTCGTTCGAGAGTCACGTAGAAATATTCTTCTAGATGTTCCACCTGAATATTGTCAAGGATGTCGATGGTAATGCACGCCTTGTTGATGGATGAAGAGAAGATCAAATTTGTTTCAGTGCTCACGTAGTCTGCACTTAGCCCTGTAGCTTCTGAATAGAGAGTTAGATTTAAAAACTGTGGTACATGATGAAAGTGGTGTATACGTACCTGCGCTATCAGGACGAGTGACAATACGCACAGGGAACTCTATTGACGGTTTGCAGCCAGCTGGTCTTATAACAGCACAAACTTCAATCTGACTTGCATTCTCAAAAACTTTATACTCAGCATGTTCCATCTCAATGAATGTGTCTGTAAAAAAATGGGCATTAAACTTAAGTTTTTTTACTATACGACGATTTCTTACTGTCATCATCTTCAATAGTGACTGTCAGACTACCGTTTACAATGATCCTATCTGTAAGGCGCATTTCTGGTTCCAGCAAAAGAGTGAAAGTTTCATCTCTTTCCAGACTGCAGTCATCAATTATGGGTACATCTACACACTCCCGAGCATCACAGGGTGAGAATGTCACGTCAACTATGCTTTTATCATAGTCAGCGGCATCTGAAAAAAGATTACAGACACCTCTCAAAGGACACTTTGTACTGCCTCTGAAAAGGGACATATCTGAGTAACGGGCACTATCAATTCCCCCCAAAGTGTCCCTTGCCCAATGGATGACTGTGTGTTTGGTGAAAATACAGTGGAACGGAATCCCTCTGTAAGGACACCCTCAAAATGAGGACACCTCTCTAAGGACACCCCTGAAATTAAGACTGCCCCTCTTATAAGACCATATTTTCTTTCCCCAAGAACAGTTCTTGCATGTGATTTAACCCCTGAAATACACATAAAATGATAACAAACCTGTAGTGCCATCTTCTTTAATGATGGAGACAGTGAACTGGAAAGCTACAGGACAAGACAGTCTGGGTCCTGGTGTCCTCACATTAAGACATACTCTGAGTAACGACACATTCTCCGGCACATTTGTAAGGGCCGATATTTCCACAACAGCCACTGGATCAAAAGAATCACTCAGGTTAGTTATCTTTTTTATTACGTGAGGAATTTTTTAACGTTTTATCACTCCAGAAATACACGCCAAAGGAACTTGCACCTAGCATCGAAACGTGTGGAGAAGTGTTTAGCCAGTTTTCTATATACTGCCTAAAGAGGATCATAACGCTAATGGTAAGAAGCTAGGAGAGAAAGGCTACAAACTGCACAGCTGCTATATATTAAGCTTCTTAAGAATCGGTTTATTTCATGCGCATTTCTGCATACTGCACCTGTAAACCAACGAGAGACCAAACGGTTCTTTATCTATCGGCTGTTTCTCCACGCGCGACCGAGTGCTAAAGCTAAAACTTGGTACATTAAGGAGAAGATGATGAACAAAACTCCCTATCATAGCCCAATACATCTATGATATCATACACACCCGAAGCCGCCGCGACTCTTGGTCTGAGGTTGTTGAAAGAAAACCAGTGTCTTACTGTCATTATCTTCTATAGTGACTGTCTTCTTCACAACATCGAGCAGAATTCTTCCGTCATGGTTGGGGAGCTTCAGCAGGGAAATGTAGAATGTTTCGTCAAGCTCCAGGGAACTGTCGTCATACACTGTAATATTTGTACACTGTGACCGACTACACTTTTCAATTGTGATGTCGGTCACATTGGCATCGTGGTCGCCTGATGTTGCTGTCGCAGCTGTGTAAACAGAGAGAGTGTGTCGCTAGCATGACAGAAAAGCTACACAAGAGTCCTTCCTTACTTGCCGCTTCAAATCTGAAGTCAAATGGAAACTCTACAGGGCAGTCTTGTTTTATGTCATGGAGAACCACACACACTTTGAGTGTTACAGCTTCATCAACCTGACAGGAAGCTCTCTCTAGACCAAATGTTGCAACTGAAGAAAAAAGGAATACAATTCTCCTCAGGATTATATATACCACCTTGGAAACAGTACTACATTAGGAAGGTGATTAAACTAAATCAAGAGAAATCTCCCCTGAGTGGGACTGGAAACTATGACCACAAAAAGCAAGGAAAAACTAAATCCAGGAAACCACTTTTCCTAAATGCTGCCCTGGGTGGGACTACATCCAGGCAGAGGACTTCAAACTACACACCACAATTCAAAGGTAAACAAAGAGTTTGCGTGGAGGAACCGACATCTGTAACACATACCGTCGTTATCTCCTATGACGACTGTTACATGTGTCCTGACCGGCTTGATTCGTTGCGTCACGCCTGGTGTGTTTTGCAATATGATATTAAAGGTCTCCTCCCTGTAACGGTCCACTGTGTCGTCGTCAATGATTCTTATCTTCACGAGCTCTGAAAGATGTCTATTGAACGGAATATTTCTGCTGATATGTTTGTAGTCTTTGTTAATCGCTGTGGAGGGAAACAAGACTCTTTTGAACATCACACTATATATAAGAACAAACAGTATTTCGTACTGGCAGTTCCTGATTCGGTGTACACAGCAACAGTAAAGTCAAACAGGACGCGGCAAGTGATTGAGCCAAATTCATCAGTGACTGCCAAGAACAACCACACATAACCATCACCCTCATTTACAGGCACATCTCTGCTGCCTCCCACGATTCGCACATAAGCCACTGTTGAAGAGGAAGATTAGGTTAGAGTAACTGGGATATAGGGCAGGGGTTATAATTCACCATCACTGTCATGGATTCCAATGCTTGCTTCTGATGGCTCTATCTTTATGCCGTCTACTGCATCCCTTCGTAGCATAACTGTGAAACTCTTTACTAGCTCCACGACACAGCCATCTTCTATAGTGCTTATATTGATGCATAACTTTGTCTGACATGGTTCGAAGTATAGTATCTTGTTGTTGAGAGGCTGATAGTCCTCACCAGGTACTAGACAGAAGGAGTGAGAGAGAAAGAAAGTCGACTATAACTCTTTGGGCCAAAGCAACACAACTACGAATCAAAAGCACAGGTTTTGGTGGTAAGGATTGAATCAAGGGCCTCACTTTTACAAAATATAACACTTACCAACTACATCACTTAGGTACACTTGGCAGACAATCTTGCACATTTTGCATAATTCTTAATGAGTTACGGTTTGTATAACATTAAAACCTGCATTAATAGGAGCAGTAGAGATCATGAGACTGAATCCATAGCTGATAGGACACGAGATATTTGAAGATGTCACTCTGGCACATACGTTGAGGCTGTCTCCTTCGTTGACTCCGTAAGACATTTCCTCCAGGCCCACAGTAGCATCTGTGGCAGTTAAAAAACGTCACACGCCTATTTTGCTGTAGCAAAAGTTTCCCATTTAATTGACACTGAAATTTAACTCCCTGTCGTCATCTATGATTACCCTCGGCGCATGCGCAGCGAGGGTACTGTAGTTGGGTTTGTCTGTGTGTCTGTCTGTTACTCTCAATCTCACTTCTCGAATGTCTGTTCGTCTCACAAACGATACGACCTACTTAACGGGCAATGAAGGTCAGAAATTTCGAACGGTTTTCTCTGAAAATGCTCCGTTGCAAAGCTAGAGCGCTTCCACATTGTATGGCTAATGCCGGTAGTCGCCATTTTATCGCTGGCGGATAATGCGCATGCGCTTATATTTAGCAAAGGACCGGGTCCGCTTGCTCCTTCTATCTTGAAGGCACAAGAAGTCACAACGAATGGCGTGTATCGACTCTCGCGTGCTATCTACTACTGTAGCTGGCCCGTGTCAGACTCTCTGCGAGCTACTTCGCCGAGGGTTTGCACTTTAGTGCTTTTCATTGTGATCTTTAGTCACTTTGGTGTAGGCAGAATTCTTATTGATAAAAGAACAAGCATAATGAAAAGCACTGAAGTGCGAACCCTCGGTGCATTGTGACGTGCACATGTAAGTAAATGCATGCGCCGTACCCCTCATTGATGGGCTGGGTTTAGTTATAGCTGTTACTCGTGGTCTCTTGCCAGATTGCGCAGAGTCTGACGCGGGCTAACTACACTACTAAATAACATGCGAGAGGCGATACACGCCCTGCATTGCATCTTCTGGTGCCTCCGAGGTATGCAGAGCATGCGGATCGATCAGACCGTTAGTAAGCCATCTCGTCCGTCGTGTATTTGCATTTAACTGCTTACCGGGGCTGTCGGGTACACACGAGCAAGCAAGCCACCCTTCCAGGGGGGTGTAGTATTTGGCGGTCGTGCCTGGGCAGGAAGCCCCGCCCCCCAGCGTTAATGGGGGGGGGAGGAGCGCTGGGTGGGCGAAATGCCTCCCCCAGCCCTGCCCGGCACCTTCACGGCCATAGCCGGAAAGAAGAAAAAAAAGAAAAAAGAAAAACGAGACGAGAAACAGACGCTCGGAGCTTGCTGCTCACGATTTGGCAAACCCACGCGGTCGATATGAGAGGCGCGTGCCCTCACGTGACTCAATACCCCATACCCCACTCACACACAACACCACGTATGCGCGCCCCTCTGCAGTTAACTGGGTCTAAAGGGGGTTTAAACCCTAGATTGGCTTTTTCGCGCTCTAGCTTTGCGACGGAGCAGTTTCAGAGAAAACCGTTCGAAAATTCTGACCGACATTGCCCGTTAAGTAGGTCATATCCTTTGTGAGACGAACAAGCACTCGAGAAGTGAGATGTAGAGTAACAGACAGACGGACAGACACACACACACAGAGACCCAACTACCGTACCCTCGCTGCGCATGCACGCCGAGGGTAATAATGGAAACAAGTGGGAAAATCTTTTCTTCAAAATGATAGGGATGGCTCTAAGCACCAAAAAAGAAAAGAACGGGTCATTTCACAGCTAAGACACAAATCAACATGACACTATCCCTATATGTTTGTATGATCATACTTTCCTATTAGTCAGTCAATAGAACAAAGATATAGGGATAGTATCACACTGATTTGTGTGTCTTAGCTGTGAAATGACCCCATGTTCTTTCCTTTTTGGTGCTTTGAGCTATCCCTATATCCCCTTCATTTTGAGAAGTGATTTTTCCACTTGTTTCCATTATTTTTTTAACTTTACTCTGATGTGAAGATGAATTGATTCAACTTGCACAGCCCGACAAAGCAAGCACAATGCACAATGCACGCGCATCCGGACAACGCCCCCTAGCCAGCGTGTGCTGCTGAGTTAGCAGGAAAAGGTGTCGTTCAGTGTCTACCACGGTGGAGCTAAAAGATCAACCGTAGGGACTTGTCACAATGAAGAAACGATCACTTGATGGCCGTGCACACCTCCGTGGAACCTGGAGACGTTCAGTTAAAAAATCATGGCTGGAACCTGTTCCGGTAAGGAGATAGCGGGATTGAAGAGTACGACGATGATGACGAAATCCTGAAATCGCGTATGAGCAACTTCTCGTGTAGAGAACTGAGGGCACGTAAGAAATCTTGCTAGCTAAACATGGGCCTGTAAACTATTGCTAGTGATTTATGAAAACCTAGGGAGTCATTCTCGCCGAGTTTTGAGGCATTTTGTATGCAGATCACGAGAGATTTGAACCGTGCCATCCCTAAATAGAGCGTCTACCAGCACTCAAGTGAAAACCAGGTCAGGAAACAAACCATCTTCGTTTTCAATGGTAACAGTGGGATTTAGAATGATGCGCTCAGCGAAGTCTTGACTTGGTGACTGTAGAGTAATGGTTAACTGTGGTTCTTGAGTGTATAAAGCTCTACGGGGCTTCAATGGGCTTTGGAACTGTTAGAACAGATTGTCTGCAAATTTACTTCGAACTTAGAAGTTTAGTTACACAATATGACGTTAAGCTAGGTGGCAGTACCTGCACATTATTCCGCATTCGGATGGCTAGGTGGGCACCACTTCACTCGCCAATTATTCAAAACTACCTTCTGGGCTGCACCTTTGCAGAAGCTCATAGGTCTTAGACAATGGAATTTTTATGCAGATTCAAAGATGGGCAGATGCATAAAATGGAACAACGCAACAAACGAAACGAAGACAGCTCTTCCAAGGATAAAGGAAAAGCTGCCCTGGGTGGGATTCGAACCAACGACACCCTACTGTCAAGGCAAGTGCTCTCCCAACTGAGCTACCTGGACAACTCAGCTGGTAGGGGTTCTAATCACTATTATACAACTTACAGTCGTCGTCTCTTATTTCAAACATCACAACATCTGTTGAGACTCGAAACATCCCAGACTGAGGTACTTCAGTTTCGGCATCAGGTAGAAGAGACACATTACACAACTGAGTATTAAATTCATCACCATTCGGAATGTTGAAGACAGCCTTGAGATCGACACATGTCATGTTGATACACTTATCAACAGTAACATCACGAAGGATTGTCTCGCCATCTCCATTTTCTGTGTCTTCATTATGCATCACGAAAAAAGAAAAAATATTTTAGTTATTTCGCAATTGTAAGTAGGTCGTACTTACATGAGTACTTGGTGAAGCTAAGAGTATAGTTTACTTGAAACTCCACAGGACAGTTTTGGTCGGTTCCTTCAATTGTCACGATCACACAAATATTGAATGGACTTTCATCACTTTCATAGAATACCACATTAGACAACAATAGAGAAACACTGACCGCTGTAAAAGAAGGGAACAAAACACCAAAGCATGAGCGACACCTAAGTAAGACATCTATCTTACTGTCATCACTCTCAATAGCCACTTCAACTGATTTCTTAGTGGTGTTGTTTGAATCAAAGAACACTCGGTCTTCAGATACCTCCACCATCAGGCTGAACCTCTGTATGCGGTTTTCCACAGTGTGATCATTAATAATGATGTCATTCAGACTAATAATGGTTGTTCCAACTGCTCCTGGAGGGATTTCAATATCCACAGTCTCTACATGGAAATCTTGTCTTGGTGTAGCCCTCTCAGCCTCATCACCAACCGGCGAAGTCAGACTCATAGCTGTGAGCCTCAGGGCGATAGGGCCCTGTACCATTAAATCGTTCTTGATTGCTAGAGTGAGTATTTGTTTGCCTGTCTCATCTTCGGACACAGTGTAAACTGACTGAGCAACATCTATTTCCACTCCTGCAGAAAATTCAGAAGGCTAGAGAAATGCACACATTTGAGAGAGCAAGCACACAGCCTATTCATCTTTCACTAATCATGGCCTACAATTAATCTTTAGATTTGAAAGGTAAAAATAATACAAAGAAATTACCTAGGGCAATTATTTTTCCTACCACCTGCCTACACTACACACCCCACAACCCCTCCGTCATCTATAGCTCCCCTGGGTGAATGTAGAAAAGAGCGTAAACATGTTCTACAATAAACTCCTAGAACATTAAAAAGCATAATATAGTTCAACAAACAATGTTTTGGCAAGTATGCCGTAGCAAATATGTTCTCTGTTCAGCTTTTATCCATGCTCTATGTGTTACAATACATTTGTATCTGAAGTATATACATCTTCGAGTTAAAAAAGTGTGGAATATAGGAATACCATAACTCCTTACTTTTTATGGTATTCCACACTTTTTGAATTTTTTTATTTACTAGCAGCACTAGCCATAGTAGTATCATGGTTAGTTGGGATAGCTTTCTGATTTTAATGCAAGGGTACTGGATTCAGACTTGACTACCTCAATCTTTTTTAACCCAATATCGAATGTTGATTTTGTACTTCACATACAAATGTATTGTAACATTAGTGACCTTAAGCTATCGCCTCAGACGTTTTGCGTCGTTCATGTTACATCAGTGCACCAAGTTTCATTGTGAGAGGACCCATCATAAGCAAGTTATAGGCACTGACACCATTTAAAAGTCTTTTTTGCCCGAGGCTGTTTGTTGTTGTTTACAACCTTGTATTTTCTGTTTCGGAGAACACTTTATCATGGCGAATCAGTGTACCAATTGTTAGAGGACCAACAGCAAATAAAAACACCATTTATTGCCTTGGGCTGTTTGTTGTTGTTTACAAGCTTGTAATTTCTGTTTGAATGAAAAGCACTGCAAACCCTCGGCACACTGTGACGCGCACGCGTAAGTAAACGCATGCGCCGTACCACCAATTGATGGGCTGGGTTTAGTTTTAGCTGTTACCCTTGGTCTCTTGCCAGATTGCGCAGAGTCTAACGCGGGCTAACTAAACTACTAGATAGCATGCGAGAGGCGATACACGCCCTGCGTTGCATCTTCTGGTGCCACCGAAGTACGCAGAGCACGTGGATCGATCCGACTGTGGTAAGCCACCCCGCATGTTGTGTATTTGCATATTGGCTTTTTCGCACTCTAGCTTTGCAACGGAGCAGTTTCAGAGAAAACCGTTCGAAATTTCTGACCTTCATTGCCCGTTAAGTAGGGCGTATCCTTTGTGAGATGAACAAACACCCGAGAAGTGAGATTGAGAGTAACAGATACAGACAGACAGATAGACAGACAGACAGACAAACCCAACTACTGTACCTCGCTGCGCATGCGCGCCGAGGGTTAATGAACTCTCATCATGGTACATCAGTGTAGCAAGTTTCATTGTTAGTGGACGAACCATTAGCAAATTAGAGGCACCAAACACCATTTACAAGTTTTTATTGCCTGAGGCTGCTTGTTGTTGTTTACAAAATTTGGAGTTTCTGTTTCGATGAACTCTCATCATGGTACATCAGTGTACCAAGTTTCAGTGTTATAGGACAGATCGTAAGCTAGTTATAGGCACAAACACATTTACAAATTTTAATTGCCTGAGGCTGTTGTTGACGAACTTGTAAATTTTTTTACTAATGATGGGTTGCATGTGTGTACGAAGTTTTATCACTCTGGGTATTTCCTCTACCTACTTAGCACACTTTATTTGTCTCTAGCATAATGTATTGCCTGGGGCTATTTTTTGTTGTTTACATGTAAACAAAATTGGCTACGAAGAAACAAAAATGCTCTTGCACGAACTGTCATGGATTCCAATATCTGTGCAAAGTTTTATATCCATATCTTACCCAGTTTTTGAGATACGCTTGTCTAAACTTAACAACAAAAACTGACTTTCTTGAATATATCAAGTACCGATTATGCGATCAATGCTGCAACGCTACACACGCGCATTCTGCGCCGAGGGTTTGCACTTTAGTGCTTTTGATTATTATAGGCTTGTATGCTGCCCTTCTTTAAGCTTGCACAGTTTGATTGAGTTTGTATTGACCACTACGACTTACTGTTGTTTTTATCCACAATGGCTACTTTCGTAGTGTGGCTGATAAACTCCCCACTTTGCTCCACCAGATTGACATAATTATTGATACCAGAGGTGTGTCTCAGAATGACTTTGTCGCCATCTTCCAAAGCAATCAAATCATTGTATGCAGTCAAACTGAGAGTTATCCTTGAGTCTCTCCGAAGCAAAGTGACTGAGACTGGCTGGTAATCTGAAAAAAGAAGAGGAATCTGGTTACTTATCAAGTTACTCATTGCATGTTGGAACTTACCATCCTCGTCCCCATCTGATGTGATCCTGCCTTCAATTGTGAGCAGTGGAAACCTAGTTATGCCCTTGGCGTTTCTTCCAAAAGCAATGTCCAATGTTTCCCCCTCTACAACACTGTATATTGTCTTCACAAATCCATGGACTATTACAATGTATAAAGTAAACAGATACTAATGCAGCCAGTAACACACCTATGCAGGGGAAAGATCTATCTCCGTATCTGTAGGAACGGCTCCCTTCCATCTCCACGCAGCATTCTCTGGCACTGAAGTATCCAATAAGTGAACCAACTTCATTATAGCAGGAGGGGAGCACTAAATGTGACAATGACATAAAGAGCATTTTCATATCATTGTTATTAAAACCTCGGTACACATGCACATAAATCTGTCCGTCTGTCTTTCTGTTTGTCGGTTTGTCCGCTTCATTTCGCACCTCACACTATAAAACACATGCAGCAGGGGACACTAATTAACCCTCGGCGCGCATGCGCAGCGAGGGTTACGGTAGTTGGGTTTGTCTGTTTGTTTGTCTGTCCATGCTCCAACTCACTTCTCGATGGTTTATTCGTCCCACAAACAATACGACGTAATAAACGGGTAATAAGAATCAGTTTAATCGAACGGTTTTTCCTGAAACGACTGTGTTCGAGAGCGACAAACTGGCACCGTCGCGGACCGTGTTCCATGGCCCAACCCATCAATAAACGGTGCGCATGCGTATATTAGACGCGATCAACGCAGTATGCTGGCTCACCCCGACCTGATCCGCTTGCTCTGTGTGCCTTGGAGGCACAAGAAACCACAGCGAAGGGCGTGTATCGACTCCCGCATGCTATCCACTACCGTAGCTAGCCCGTTACAGACTCTCCGTGAGCTACTAGCGGGAGACTGCGGGTCCGTCCATTAGCAGTACCGCCTATGCGCAGTTCGCCGAGGGTTTGCACTTCAGTGCTTTTCATTTGTGGAGTAAACAATTTAAAGGGCGTTTTTTTACAGAAGCCTGGCTAGCCATTCTGTTTCATTTCACGACCTGCGCTAGTGGTGAAACTACAAGCACATTGGCTTGCACAGGTATCAGTAGAGAAAAATGAATAGGCCGTTGTGCGCTCCACTGCATCGTCTCAGCATTCTATAACAAATATACAGACGCTGCAAATTACAAAGTGTGATGATGTGAGAATGATAAGCATCACGCACTATAAATAGAGCTCTGGAGAGCACATACTCCACGCAGTAAGTATCACATGTGCAGCACCAAATGCCCTAACGTTTGAAGCAGGATATCTAGCCGTTGTGGCATGTGTCATGATTCCAAGCACAGTTTTTTGGCGTTTATGACAGATCAGGCAGTTTTAAAACTCACCCAGGGACCTATAATTATTATGAGATCTGTGCGACACGACAGACATACAGACCAATCACACAATCCCTTGGGTGCCTGGCGTAACAACATAGCATTTGATATTTCCCTTATTGCTATTTCATCATTATCTACTTCGCCATTTAAAACAGAGGCTTTGATATGGATCATGGAATATGTCATTTGCACAAAATGTTTAATACATTAATAGGTTACATAACTGTGTTGTTGTTCAAAAACAGATGGGTACGACCAGACTTGTGGCAAGAGATATATACAAAATTACGCTACACCATTGAATCTGAAAGAGGAGAACTTCCTATTACAGCCATAATAAAATCTATAAGTTTTTCATCTTGCATCGGGTTACTGCTCTCAAATGAAAAGCACTATGTGCAAACCCTCGGCGAACTGCGTATGTGCGGTACCACTAATTGACGGGCTTGGCTTTTTATGCCTTTACTCGTGGTATCCCTCTAGTAGCTCGCGGAGAGTCTGGCACGGGCTAGCTACAGTAGTAAATAGCATGCGGGAGTCGATACATGCCCTTCGTTGTGACTTCTCTAGTGCATTAAGGCCTGGGTGCATCAAAATCATGGAAATTTCAGATTTTTGTTTGTTTTGAGAGTGTCACATTACCTTTTACTTTCAAACTTGGTAACGTGATAAAACTCATAGGTCTTAACTCCCTTAACAAATTGTGACCACGCCCACATTATTTGTTTGTTTGTTTACATGTAATTCGTATATGCGTTTAGGCGGATTGCTTACACTTCGAATTAAGAATTCATCTTGAGCTCAGAGAAACAAGTACATACTAAAGTAAATCTTTATCCAACGGGGAAATGAAAAAACTAATAACGCGTCGATAACGAACTAAATATCGAACCGCGCCCAGTTTTTACGATAAAAACGGGCCCTGCATCTAAAACTGTCAAGTTGCTCACCTTCCCCGTTGGATAAACAGTCAGAGGACTTTGCGTTTGTCTTTCTTAACGTAAAAAAGTAGCTATAGACTAAGCGGAACCCTTCCGCCTAAGCGAAAACAGTTGTGAAAAACTTACTACCCGTCCGCGTTCCGCGCATGCGCATATTCGTAAAATTACGTCCGTACATGGCGTTACTCCGTATATTTTCCGTGAAACGTTACTACGGGGGCGTGGTTACGTGATTCCGTCCAGCTTCCGGTTTGCTGCTCGCGGACAGGGCTTAACGCACCAGAGTTGTTGTGCCTTCAAGACACACTGAGCGAACGGACGCGGTCGAGGTAAGCCTGTGCTAATTTACATATTGGCTTATTCACTTGGTTTTCATGCCATAACTTTAAAACACAGTAGTTTTATGAAAATCGCCTTTTTAAAATCAACCCAGTGTAGCACTGAACCCGATCATGTCGCTATTTACCTAATTTCGTGCGCGCGGTGGCAGAAAACGTGGTAACAGACAGACTGACAGACGGACAGACCGACAGACACACTTACGGGACAACTACCGTAACCCTTGCTGCGCATGCGCGCCGAGGGTTAATAACCTCCTTAGAGCATCAAAGGAGAATGAATACGCACATAACTTTTAAAATAATCAGGAATGTATATACTTCTGAACACCGCAGTCCAAGAGAAAGCAGAGGGCTAAACAAAAGGGGGATACTAAAGAAATGTACCCATTGTTTGGGGAGCGCAAGCAGTTATAAATATCGTGCATGGTTTGCGCATATTTAGAAGCACGTAAAACGGAAACATCATTACATATGCGGTGCGAGCATTTCAATATTTTTCACGTGTTTAGCACGTATTTAGAATCACGTAAACATTATAGTATGTTTATGTTGGTCCTTTGGTCCTTCGGTCGTTGCATTTGGGAAAATTCCGCATTCAGACGCCTAGGTGGGCTCGCTTCGCTCACTTTTCTGGGGAGTGGTAGCTAGCCTACAACCTGCTATAGGATCTGGCTTATTCCACCAGTAGAACAATGGCTATGTCAGCAAGAAAGATATAAATGCCTAGGGAGGAGAGCTTCTGTGCCCCTGCAGCTCAGCCACAATTGACAATTGTGCAGAAATGCAGTATTTATGTGTGTAAGTCCTGCTGGGGACTATGCAAAAGTGCAATTTACTAATTTTGACACTAATTACACCCCATAGGGGACACCTGGCTACTATGCACTGTAAATTTATAGGCAGGTAGACTGGAGGATCATTCAAGGTCTCTAGAGGAGCTTCATAATAAGTATGTATTAGTACCGGCTGATAAGGCAGCACAAAATGTGATTATAGTTTGTAAGAAGTATTATTTGGAAATTGTATTAAAAGAAATCGACACCACTATCACGTATGAGCATGTTATGGAGGGATGTCAAGGCATTGTTGATAGACACGTTAATTTTTTGAATAACCACCGCATTGATGTACGACCTGAGTATAGATGCTTGCCTTTGTTTTATTGGCTTCCAAAGCTTCATAAACGGCCTTATGGTACTAGGTTCATAGCTGCATCACACAGGTGCACTACAAAACCTTTATCTAAACTACTTACTAGCTGCCTTAAACTAATCTCCACCCATTATAAACAATATTGTAACGGCATTTTTTGTAGGACTGGAGTAAATTGTTTTTGGATCATTGATAACTCCCAGCAGGTACTTTCAACATTAAGCAAAATAAATTATTTTTCTACGGCCAGGCATTTTGATAGCTACAACTTTTCTACATTGTACACAAGCATTCCACATGTAGCACTCAAAGAGGCTTTAGAGACTCTAGTTCAGGAAGCATACATGGTGAGAGACAGTGAGTTCATTATAGCAGATGGTACTGGAAATGCGTACTGGTCTGATGTACCATCGAACTCCTCATCGAAACATAATATTACTGAAGAGATGCTAGTCACATATGTGGAATACCTGATAGATAATATTTATGTTAGTATAGGTAATAGAATATATAGACAGTGTATAGGGATTCCAATGGGAACGGATTGTGGGCGGTTGGCGGCAAATTTGTTTCTGTTTTACTATGAATATAGATATATGAAGAATATGATAAAAACTGATTTGATTCTGGCAAAAAGATTTAGTAACACAATGAGGTATATTGATGATTTGCTGACATTGAATAACACATCGTTTAATTCGGCCATTGGTGACATATACCCAGAGGAGCTTAAACTAAAAAGAACATCTGAATCACCAACAATACTGTCATACTTAGATATACATATAACTATAACAAATGGGAAATATTCCACGGCAGTATATGATAAACGGGATGATTTTAACTTCAAAATTGTAAATTTTCCATATCTAAGTTCCAATATTCCATCTGGACCAGCATACGGAGTTTATATTTCCCAATTAGTACGTATAGGTAAAATATGTAGTGATTACTCGGAGTTTACGTTGAGACATTTCAAACTAACGGAGCGACTGATTCATCAAGGATACAGATACTCTGATTTGTGCAGGTCCTTTTATAAGTTTGCTAAAAAGCACGCACAAATTATGATTAAATATAGCTGCGGCATACGCAAGCATGTGGAGGATGGTATATGTCTGCCAGCAATGGATAGATTCCTCAGTCGCCATGTGTCGCATAGATAGAATGTATATTTATAGTCACATATTTATTTTGAATAATCTATTTTTAACATTTCTATTTCTAACATTTCTATTTCTACCATTTCTACTATTATTTATATTATTTATATTTTTCTTACACGTGTATATGCTGTGCGTTATTTAAAGTAATCGACAGAACTATTAATCTTATTTTAGGAGTTCTATTTTTTCTATTTTTCTTACACGTGTATATGCTGTGCGTTATTTAGAATAATCGCACGTTTTTTATGTCTCCGTCGTGTCGTCGTGCTGCATGAGTTTCAGAGTTTTTATATTTTTCTATGAGTTTATTGGTCCTTTGAGGCTTTCTATTTTTCTACCGCCTGTTGTTTTTATCCTGTAGCTGTCGTTTTTTGTACATGATTTCTATCTATTTATTTTATAACTATGTGTAAGGGACGGGTTGGGCCCATAAAGACTCTTTAACCTACCGCACCGGTTCTCAAGGCTGGGCACCCAGGGTCCTGCCTCTTTCTTTCTGTTTATATGTTATTGTCTGTGTTTTGTGTGCTTGGGTGGGGGAGGTTCTTTCTTTTCCTCTGAGCTAGTATGCTATAAACATGTTTTTCATGCAGTCTTTTAGACCAAAATTCTCCTGGGGCCAGTCCACCCTAGATGCACTAGCTTACAAACATAACAGACCTTGAGTGAGATTAGAGAACTCCCACAGAAGATTAGTCATAAACTTTGTGCCCATGACTGGGAAAGAGCCATCTAAAGCAGAGTAGTGCTCCTTTACTGCACCATCTGGCCTCCAACTCTTAATGGGAACTGAAACACCATCCCTGTAATAGATTCTACTACCTTACACATGACTATCCAACCCCCCCCCCACACACATAACCTCGATCCCTTCTTCCATTCCAATGTTTTTTTATTTGGAACTGCGTAGTACGTACCAACCATTCAGCTTTTTGGTTGATAATCAAGCAAAAATACTGCCTATCCCACCAGAAAATCGCCAAATCCCTCTTTTTTGTGCTAACCTGTGATGCATCATGCCAATACATTTTGAATGGACACGCAGCATTTTCAAGCAAAAACACTCCAAATCAAGCAACTTTGACACATTTCTCAAGCAAAGGTTTATCTGCAGGTTGGTAGGTATGGGACTCAACTATGTAACCAAGGGGCCAGTGTGACATCACCCTAGGTATATATAGCTTTTTTGGGTGTGACATACTTGACTCTACATCAAGCGTCACCCTGTAGATAATGTGCGTTTAGAGTGATTTACGGGAACGAGGGGGTGCAGTCGAGAGGCTCCAGGCGCAGCCGAGTGCTGTATGGGTCTCGAGACCACAAAGTTCCCGTGAGTCATATACAGAACGATGGGACAGACATCATGTGTTTCTTTTGACTTTGTAGCAGTCGCCGACCTCCAGTAAGAGAAATGTGATACTTCCCATGCGCATGTGCGCACTCGCTAGCTTCTCGAGTGAGTTCTCTGTTCTCGTGGCTACCGCAAACGAACAAGGTGGTGATGGTGGCTCTTTCTCCATCAGAGAAACTCGTCTCGCAGGTCGCTGGGCTGTTTGACCGGTCGGTGTGCAGCGGCCACGGTCTCGCTTGCCACAGGGAGCAAGAGTGTAGAAGAGATAGCTGAATGAAGGGGTGTGGTCGCCTCAGCCATCCCTCGCAGCCTCTACAGCACAATGTGTATGATGCTGATGCTAGTTTAATCATTGAACGTTCAATACTTGTCATATTGAACGCGTACTACAATACAAGAAAAAGTATGCGCGGCTCCTTTGATCTGCCAATGCAAGTCACAATAAACATTGTTGATGTATAGCTGATGAGTATGATGTCATTAACGTTACCTATCTCGTGATGATGAAAATATTTTAGGGCTTATCCATTTTAATTTGCTACAGGTTCAAAGCTCACACATGTCCATTCTTGTGAAAGGATGAAAGCTAGCTAACTGCCATCCATCTTCTATTAGCAGCGCACTAACATACATGGATGTTTGTTGGCATATTCCAGAGATGAGCATCTTTGCCACTAATTGATGGGCTGGGTTGTCGATCTACTCATAGATTATTATACCACAGATGAGCACTTGAAAGAAATGTGTTTCCAATCCCATTCCACAGGTAGTAGATTCACAACCCATAGCTCAGCCCATCAATTAGCCAACCATTCCTTGTCTTCTGACTCACTAGGGGGAATTGGGTGTCTACTTCTGGAAATGAAAAGCACTGAAGTGCAAACCCTCGGCGCACTGTGACGCGCACACGTAAGTAAATGCATGCGCAGTACCACTAATTGATGGGCTGGGTTTAGTTCTAGCTGTTACTCGTGGTCTCTTGCCAGCTCGCGCAGAGTCTGACGCGGGCTAACTACACTACTAGATAGCATGCGAGAGGTGATACACGCCCTGCGTTGCATCTTCTTGTGCCTCCGAAGTACGCAGAGCACGATCCGCGGTAAGCCATCACGTCCGTTGCGTATTTGCATATTAGCTTTTTCGCGCTCTAGCTTTGCAACGGAGCATTTTCAGAGAAAACCGTACATAATTTCTGACCTTCATTGCCCGTTAAGTAGATCGTGTCCTTTGTGAGACGAACAAACACCCGAGAAGTGAGATTGAGAATAACGGACAGACAGACAGACTGACCCAACTACTGTAACCCTCGCTGGCCTGCGCAGGAGGGTTAATAAGCAGTCCCAACCTCTTCTGGCCACACACCCACACCCACCACCAGGGTCTACCCAGCTATTTTCTTCATCTGTTAGAACAATGCACGTTATCTTTGTGCCAATACCTAGATTCTCCACATAGTACTATAATAGTACTATAATAGGGGGTAACCGGGCCACATCAGACAATCACTATAATAGTACTATAATAGTATAGGTAAGGGTACCCAGGCCACATCAGACAATCACTATAATAGTACTATAATAGTATAGGTAAGGGTACCCAGGCCACATCAGACAATCAGATAACGCAGCATTCGCTTACACAGGCAGTGAGTCGTCTGGTTGTACGCCAGAGAGCCTGGGGGATTGGTAGGGTACCTTCTGCTTTGAAACGCTTCCACATCCAAACAATCGGTGCAGTTTGGACTTTCATTAGAGATGGCAGAATACGACACTCTCTCGTAGTGCGTTAGTTCCCACACGCCGTCCAGGCACATTATATCCAGTACCACACTCACGGGCTCCGGTAGGCACGACGTTTCGTTGCACCGGTCATACAGACAGAGTACCGTCATCTTTTCATAAGCGTACGAATTGCAAACAATATCGTATTCTCTAATCACTATTCGTAGGCTGGAATCGTTGTATGTGCTAGTGATGATACGGCTCAACGCCACTGACGAGGGAGAAGAACACCCGCCTTGCGTCCCGGTCCATGCCTCCCCGGCCCCACCGGTGGCTACTAGGAGAGCTAGGATTATCGCAACGATGTTAGAGAAGAAGTGTTCCATGCCGGAGCGTTGAACCCTCACGCGCTCTAAATTGCGCATGCCAACCGAGATGCCGATACACTGCGCAGCCCAAGCCGTGGGTTGTGGTGTGTTTATTGGCGAGCGGGGAGCGAGCTAACCTAGTGGTACGACGGCGCGATTTATACGACCGCGCGTACGTCCTTCTTTTTATCCGAAAAACATTTCCAAATTTTACACCGTATATTTCTCCACTTTCTGGTCTAGAGAAGACGCCCTTCGTCGACGAGAAAGGGAAAGAGAACGTCGTGCCAGTGAGACTTCTGAGCGAAGAGAGGCTCGTCTTTCTCGACGGCGACTGCGTGATAGGGAACGGGCAAGGCAACGCCTGGCCACGGAAACAGCGGAAGAAAGACTAGCGAGAAGTCGTGTACGAGCAAGAGCTATATACACGTGCTGCGGAATCAGAGGAAACGCAACAGGCAAGGCTCTAACAGATCCGAAGCTATCAGACAAGGCGAATTGCCGCCGAGTCTGCCGAGGAGAGAGAGGGTCGACTACAGTTACTACACAGGAATCAACAGCGCATGCCCACAATCGTTAGAGCGCCAAAAATGCAGTGCATTCACCTACGACGACCGTACGTGCGCATGCTCCAGGATTACGCGTTTCTTTTTATCCGAAAGGATTTCAAAATTTCACATGCTGTGATGATGTCCTGCATATACATGTCCGGGGTAGATGCCCTTCGTCGTCGAAGAGAGTGGGAAAGAGAACATCGTGCCCGTGAGACTCCTGAGCAGAGAGGCTCTTTTGTATCAGCGTCGATTTCGTGATAGGGAACGCGCAAATTTTTACACTGCCTAGCTGTCATATCGATGCGAAATATAGTCAGCCAAAACAACTCTCGTTGGCATTCGCTGCGCTCTTCGATACATAACCGAGGCTGTCTATACCTCCTTCCAATCTTCGTGATTCTAAGGTGCAAGTTGTAGGATGGCTCGAGCAGATAGAGTCATTGTGTGCTCGCTCCCGCTCGCCAAAAATGCCATGCATTCGCCTACTAGTTATATATACATCTACACCCGCCCGTGGCGCAGCGACTCGCACGAAAGAAGGCGTATATAGCTCACTTGCAAACTCACACTAATTAGCATTGGAGCCTACTTGATTCACTGGGATGAAGGTCTGGCTAGTTACAGTGTAACTCGGCCTCGCTCTCTGCAAGACGTTGTCCGCTCCTGCGTGCTGTTCAGCCAACGAGACAGGCTGCTACATCGTCGTTCTACGAGAAGAGACCTCGCAGGATAAGGTCAGTGAGATCTTGCACATAATATGGCGTGTAAACAGTGTCAAAAATAGTACGCACGCGCGGTCGATGCGGAGGTCGGTCTACTTTACTTGGAGGTCGGTCCACTTTACTAAGAGGTCGGTCTACTTTACTAGTATCGGTCGCTCAACTTCACGAAGGGGATAGCCGTCAGTCCTCGACCTCTGCGCTCATCCACTGCAAGTTCTTTCTCGCGGGAGGGGCCCGCCCGTCACTTTTGTAAGGTAGGCCGACCTCCTAGTAAAGTAGACCGACCTCTCGGTAAAGCGGACCGACCTCTTAGTAAAGTAGACCGACCTCCTAGTAAAGCAGACCAACCTCTAATACTGAAGTACACCGACCTCTACTAGTAAAACG